AATCTCAGTTGCAGGGACAGGAGGAGCTGTGCTCTACACTGCTGCAACAGGAGGTGTAAAGTAATGTGCTCCTCACTGCTGGGACAGGAGGTGCTGTGCTTATTATCGCTAGGACAGGAGATGTAAGAATCTCAACTGCTTGAACAGGAGGTGTCAGAATCTCAACTGCTGGAACAGGAGGTGCCAAATGTTGGGACAAGAGGTGTGACAAAGGTTGTGCTCTTGACAGCTGAGACAGGAGATGTCAGAATCTAAACTGGTGGGACAGATAAAGGACACTCAACTGCTGAATCATAGGATGCAAACCTTTTGAGCTTATGAGGAATGCATTTTTCCACCTCCACGAATGGCATCACGTGATCCAGATTAATTTTTGCAAATTTCACACTGTTATCATCAATTAAATATGCACTTTTGCCTTGTAAAGTAGTAATAGGAAAGGGACCCAGAAAATCCATTCAGCTTTCCTCCTTTCCTCTGCTGACTTCTGATGTTTCTCCTGAGAACCTTTTCTGCCCTGGCAGCTTCTTTTCTTGCTCTCACTTTATGCCTTGCAGCTTACATATTTCTCCTGCATCTGTATGGCAGGCTTGAGAATTTGTGTCTGGAGCACATCTTCCATTGTTTCACTGATATTGAAAAAAAGTTCAATTTCATATAGAATTTCAGAGAAGACACAAAGTGATGTGAATCCCATAAAATGTACTGTAGCTGTAGAAAAATAATTTAAACAAGATATCAACTACAGTGCTAATAATGACCAACCACCTAAATAACACCTGAGTCAGTCTCCATTAAGAGTGGGAATTCAGGTGGATACATTTTTAGAATATCTATTTCTTTCATCCCAAAACTAAACAACCTTAATATGTCCATTAACATCTCCTATTATAACATGGAAAATGGAGAGCTCAATTCCAAACATATTTTGACAAATTATAATGTAAAATGCAATGTTTTAGTCAGTTTGTCACTGGTGTTACCCCTTAATGAGGCATTCTTTTTTCTGATAATTGTATTTATTTTTCCATTTAAATTATTGTGACTGTGTTTACTGCAGAAATTCAATTTGAATAATCGTGTTACCAAAACTCTTTTATACGCATGCACTAAAAATACAAAAATACAGAGGCATTTTATATATTTTACCATGCCTCCATAAACTTTTATAAAAAAAAAGTTGTACAATAAATGCTGAAATTGAAGTACTGAGATTAAAAAAAAACTGTGCAAAATGTATTATTCTAACATTTCAAGTCAGATAATACAGACAATATTTCAGCAAAAAGAACACCTCCATCCATCATCTAAACCGCTTATCCCTCTGGGTCACGGTGGGGTGCTGGAGCCTATCTCAGCTGTCATTGGGCGGAAGGCAGGATACACCCTGGACAGGTCGCCAGTCCATCGCAGGGCAGACAGACAGACATACACACACTCACACCTAGGGGCAATTTAGCACGTCCAATTGGCCTGACTGCATGTTTTTGGACTGTGGGAGGAAACCGGAGTACCCAGAGGAAACCCACGCAGACACAGGGAGAACATGCAAACTCCACACAGAAACGACTCTGGTCACCTGGCCGGGAATCGAACCCAGGCCCTTCTTGCTGTGAGGCGACAGCGCTACCCACTGCACCACCGTGCCACAAAAAGAACACCTTATCATAACAAATCGATAACACCAGTGACAATTTAATGTGACTATTTAATGTTTTAGGAGCTGTTCATGCAGAGTCCAAGTTGTTCCAAGAGTTCAGAAACTTTTTTATGGAACTGTATATTCAGAAAACAAAGAAAAAGCCCAATGCGTGCTTTGTGTCTTGTTATTTTGGTGATTATAAACATTTTGTGTGCCTAAGCCCAAATGTCCAGTATACTGGACACTGGATATTATATGTTTCTGAGTAAAAAAAAAAAATCTAATCATTCATGACATTAACATTAGTCACTGGTGTCACAACATGAATATGATGTAACACCAGTGACATTCTGAATTTTGTAAATTGGCTGCCCTATTAGCAGCCAGGTGACCTTGTATAACTGTTTAAAATCAGTGATATAAATGATATATGGCATTGTGTTGACAAAATTACCCAGTCAAATATAATGAACAAATATAGTCGCCTACTCATGCATTGAGTTGCTTCCTTTCTGACGAGCCTTGACCCAAGGAAGCAGGTTAATAGATTTGAAATTGCTATATTATAATGTAACATGAGCCCTGATAACACCAGTGGCCAAAATCTAGGAGGAGGAGGTCCTAGTCTGTAATATGAAAAAAGTCCTCTATCTGTAATATGAAAATATAGCAAAAATGTAATGTACATAACATTCATGGGTGTGCGTGGCACACTGTTGAATACAGGCCTTCTCATTATCTATTAATATGCATCCTTTCACACATTTCTTCAGGAGAGCCATAGACTGAGCTCATGAGCTCACGATTAACAGAGCAAATCCATGCTTAAAGATATCATTTAAATACAATATCAATGACATAAAAACGCTATTTTTAGTACAATGTTTGAAATTGCTAAAAAGTCGGTGACACCTTCTGCAGAATGGAGGGAAGAAGAAAATTTCCATCCTGGCTATTTTCTCGTCTAATTGGTTGTAATTGTGTGTCGCGTAGAACTGCTCAGTTTGATTGTGATGGGCTGTGGAGTCCATGGGCGGGGCGGTGGCTGCGCTGGGAAGCAATGCCTCTTAGTCGATGCTGAGGGTCAAAAACACATTTGTACCAGAGCCAGTTTATAAGGAGACTGGCCTCTTCCTATTTCCCATGTTAACTTAAAAACACGACTGCAAAACAGCAAAGGGGCCAGCGAGCGAGTCCCCAATGAATGGGGGTTAATGGAGCTAAATGGCTAAAAATGAAAAGTTCAACTAGTATATAATCACTTGCCCAGAACTTTCCTTTAATTTTAGAAGGTGCAATAATGTATTTCATGAAATAAAAAACAAAGAAAACTTACCTGTATGTTTTTCTTTTTTCTTTAGCAAACGGGTTTTGGGCAGCAGGACGCTAGCATTACTGCTAGTGAGTGCTGATTGACTGATGAGCAGAACACCTCAATGGCTGTTCGCGCTCACTGACGTCATGAACGTATACTTACCTAGACACCGCGTTGTTCTCTATCTGAGGCGATACGTCTGCGCTTCAGACAAGTTGGTGCAGTCAAGATGCACTTGTGAACAAATGCACTTGTATTGAGAGATGATGAGTTCTCACAACTTCCTTAATACTCAACCAATTTTTATCAAATTTGTTTTGTTATAATCCTCAGACATTGATTAATCTAGGTTGCATGGACTGCTCTCAGTAGCATTTATTTTTTTAACAACTGTGATCATGCTAATTGGCCATCTGGACAAGCAGGAAATTATTTAGTCTGCGCCTGACGTTAGTTTAGCATAGCTCCGGCAGAAACATATCTCACAATCAGCAAATCCATCAATGTGTGAATCTCTTCTAATCTTAATACACATAAAAATAAAATAATCCCCCCCAAAACACAGTAAGAAGTACAAAGCTGAAGTTGGCTTTCAATTCACCAACTTCTTGTTCGAATTCTCCCGTTCCACCTTAAATGGTGCAGCAGTCACTTTTTGGGTCTGAAGCTGCAACAGAAAAATTCGAACATGAAGCTGGCTGAAGCACCATTTAAGGCGGAACGGGAAAATCTGAACAAGAAGCTGGGTGGTGCACCATTTAAGGTGAAACAAGAAAATTCGAAGAATGTATCTATGGTATACTTTATAACTCGTGTTCGAAAATATAACCGCGGTGTTAAAATGTGTTATGCTGTTCTCTGTTCAGGAAATGAATGTATTTTTACATTAAAAATGCTTAAGCATTTATAAACTATGTTTTTGCTCAAATGTTCCATCTTAACCCATTCATTTTGGACTCGCTCGGGAGCGCCCTCTAGTGTTTGAGAAACCCGGAAGACACTACATAGTGGTAATTGTTCTCTCTACAAGTTCTCAGTTTGTGCCCAATTCACACGGTTTGAATCTCTCTGGTAACAGCGACGCCTCTGATTGGTGGCGTTCTCTTTGGGATGTGTGGGTAATGTATTTCTTTACGAGAAAAGAGGGAATAGAGCTCGATTTTTCGGAAAAAAAAGTTTAAATCAGACTGATTCATGTTTTTAACTGGAACATATGTCGTCATCTCATAATCTCGAAGCTCATGGTAAGTCAGTGTTGGCTGGATAAAATATTAAGGGTAAAAATTCTTATGACCATTATGAATAAAAAATTTACTTCTGGAACTAGACTGAATTAACGTACACAGACCAATTGGTCTAAAGCTGCTTAAGAAATGGTGTCATGATTGGTGCAATGACAAATCTCTGATTGGCTGGAATTTTAACATAAATTCAAACATTGTATGTCGAGCAGATGTGAAACCTGAGAGAGGTTTAGTTGGGAGCAAAAATAATTAGTGCACTCGTGCGAGTTTTGAATGGAACCTGTTTTGCACGTACGAATTCTTAAGGCACTGTTGTGCGGGTTCTTAAGTTTTGAACAAAACCAGATCTAATAGTTTTGTCGACCAAATCCAAAGGCGTTTACCTGCACGCTTCCTGCTGACAAGTGCATTTAAGCTCATTAGCAGTGTGCTCAGAGCACCATATTGTCTTTTCAGAGTCTAATATTCCTTTTTTAAACATCATAATCCTCTCCCAAACATTTTGACACAAAATTCCGTCCATACAAAACAGCAATATATTTCCATTAAACAGTATTATAAATTACTTGGCATTTCGTAGCCAGCCCATGAGAGGGCAGCGTGGCCAAGCAAGCAGCGTTGTATTTTGCCATAAAGAAGAAAAGCACCTGCGCACCATCAAAATGTATCCAAATTCTTTTCTAGAACATTATTGCACCCCCAAACTCGCGTAGTCGCTAGTTTCGCGCACCCATTAGGTGGTCCTGTAACTAGTTGCGTCACCAAAGTGCCGAATGAACAGCGGAGATTGGGGGTAAATGATGAGAGCTCATCCTCATTCACACTCTTTTTCAGAAGGTGGCGGTAATGCACTAAACGTTATTTTTGAAGAAGAAGAAGAAGAAGAAGAACAAGAAGACGACGACGACATAACTAGTGTCTTCAGAAGCTCTGTTGTGATTTTGATGAGCTGCGCCCGTAGACCTTATCTTAATTTAATACTTCATAGAATAATTATGTGGACGACATAAGTCATTTGCTCAGAAGTGTAATCGTTAACGTTAGCTGTCAATGTCCCCTAAGCCATCGGAATCTGACTGTAGGTATCTTTACACATCACAAGATAAAGCATAACCCAACTATGCTAGGCTTAGCTATCTATCTATGGTTTGGACGCCAGTAGGTTATAATTCAGTGTTGGCCATTTATGTTACAGTTGGGCACGAATTAATGGAAAACATAACGTTGAGATACGTTACCGATTTTGCATTTTTTATACATAGTACGCTACGTCGTAATTTAGAGGTTAAAATGTGATAGCTACCATCGTTACGCATTTTTTATTTCTGTTAGCTACCTGCATCATAATTTGTGAGTTTAGGTTACCTCAGACTATGACCACGGTAACGTTAGTTTTATTTTCGATATTCGTCTTTTCGGCGCTAATAACATTTGATCGGACTACGGTAGTCAGTAAAGACTTACATATTCATGACAGTACGACCACAGAGAGTGATGCACACCTGTTCTTTTGCAGTTTGGGTGATATTTAACGTACCGCTATTTTGTGTTAATACCATAGAACTGAGACAAGTTTTTTCAGTCGGAAGGAAAATCATGCACTTCTAGACCACACCTACATCCATGCACACGCATCTGTTTTCCTCCAAAGCGTTTCAGTGCATTTAAATACATATTTTAATTGTTCGTGCTAACAATAGACACCGCCAGACAATAGAACGTCAATAGCTCCATAAACACTGTGTCCATGCACATCTGATTAATTGTGTGATTTGCTCTAAATTATGGTTAGAAATATACACCACTTTAATTTAGAAAAAGGACTTTGAATTAACCTGTAACTAAAATGTACTTGCCAATACTTGTCCTAACAGTACTGAGCATACCTTACCTGTAAAAACTGATATTACCTGTATACTGATATAGCTAGTTAGCTTGATGACAGAGGTTCGGTAATCGACAGACATTAGCAGTCTTGAAGGTTCAGTAGATCCTTAACCATCTAAAATATTAGTTTAAAAAATGAGAGTGTAGAAAAGAAAACGTCTTATTTAAGTGGAATAAATTGCAAATCAAAAGTTTTTTTTAAATCCATCAAACACTGAGTCAGATGTAAGTTTTAAATCTTGTACATTTTTTTTTCATTTTGAATTTCGATAACATTTTAGACATTTAACATTTAAATCAGCAGTGTTTGGTGCAGATAAGTTTCAGTAATGACACACAAACTTGAATTTTACTTGAGGATATAATGTAGCTAAAATACTGCTTAGATTCAAAATGCAGCATTCACTGCAATTAATGCAGCTGAAATGCTTTTGAAGGTTAAAATACAAATATTAATATAAAGTAATTATTGCAGTACATTCAAAACTCAAAAATTGTGTATGATTGCTGTAACTTACCTGCACCATACACAATTGTTTGTAGTGTTGGGTGTAATACAGCTGAAATGCTACTGAAATTCAAAGTTGATAAAAGTTAAATCAATATATCCAAAATTTAAAAGCTGTGCATCATTGCTGACATCTTGCTGCACCATACACAGCTGTTTTTAATGTTGTATATAATTTAGCAGAATATTATTGAAATTCAAAATACTGAAAAAATTATAAAAAGTAATTACAGCAATAGATCAAAAATCCAAAGGCTGTGCATCATTGCTGACACCTCACTGCACTATACTCATCTGTTTTTAATGTTGTAAATAATGCAGCTGGAATATTATTGAAATTTATCCAAAATCGAAAAGGTGTGTATGACTGCTGACACTTCACTGCACTGTACACAATTCTTTGTAGTGCTGTATGTAATGTTACTGGAATATAATTGAAATTCAAAATATATAAAAAATTATTTAAATGAGATATTGCATTAGATCCAAAATCCAAAAAATGTGTATGATTGGTGATACCTTGCTGCACCATACACAGTTATTTTTGGTGTTGTATGTAATGTGGCTGAAATATTATTGAAGTTCAAAATAAATAAAAATTTATATAAAGCAGTTATATATAGTTATATATAAAAAATTATTTAAATGAAATATTGTATTACATCCAAAATCCAAAACTTGTGTATGATTGCTGACATCTTGCTGAACCATATACAATGGTTTTAGTGATGTATATGATGTGGTTGAAATTCTATTGAAATTAAAAATACATAAACATTAATATAAAATATAAAGCTATTTCAGCTAAATTATATACAACATTAAAAACAGTTGTGTATGGTGCAGTTTTGGATTTTGGATATGTTGCTGTGACTACTTTTTATTCATTTTTATGTATTTTGAATTTCAGTAATATTCCAGCTGCATTATTTACAACATTAAAAACAGCTGTGTATGGTGCAGTGAGGTGTCAGCAATGATGCACAGCTTTTGGATTTTTGATATGTTGCTGTGACTACTTTTTATTCATTTTTATATATTTTGAATTTTAATAATATTTCAGCTGTATTACACCCGACACTACAAACAATTGTGTATGGTGCATTTAGGTTTCAGCAATCATACACAACTTTTGAATTTTGAATGTAATGCAATAATTACTTTATATTAATATTTGTATTTTAACCTTCAAAAGCATTTCAGCTGCATTAATTGCAGTGAATGCTGCACTTGGAATCTAAGCAGTATTTTAAATGTTCAGTGTCTAAAATGTCGAAATTGAAAATGGAAAAAAATAACTTAAGTCTTACTCACTGGGTTTTTGATGGATTTAAAAAAGTTTTGAGTTGCAATTTGATCCACTTAAATGAGACGTTTTCTTTTCTACGCTCTCATTTTTTAAACTAATATTTTAGATGGTTAAGGATCTGTTGAACCTTCAAGACTGCTAATCGATTACTGAACCTCTGTCATCAAGCTAACTAGCTATTTCAGTATACAGGTAATATCAGTTTTTACAGGTAAGGTATGCTCAGTACTGTTAGGACAAGTATTGGCAAGTATACTTTAGTTACAGGTTAATTCAAAGTCCTTTTTCTAAATTAAAGTGGTGTGTGTTTCTAACCATAATTTAGAGCAAATCACACAATTAATCAGATGTGCATGGACACAGTGTTTATAGAGCTATTGACGTTCTATTGTCTGGCGGTGTCTATTGTTAGCATGAACAATTAAAATATGTATTTAAATGCACTGAAACGCTTTGGAGGAAAACAAATGCGTGTGCATGGATGTAGGTGTGGCCTAGAAGTGCATGATTTTCCTTCCGACTGAAAAATCTCAGTTCTATGGTATTAACACAAAATAGTGGTACGTTAAATGTCACCCAAACTGCAAAAGAACAGGTGTGCATCACTCTCTGTGGTCGTACTGTCATGAAAGTCTTCGCTGACTACCGTAGTCCGATCAAATGTTATTAGCGCCAAAAAGACGAATTTCGAAAATAAAACTAACGTTACCGTGGTCAGAGTATGTTACTGGCTGTGAAATTTGCCTGACCATGCCAGGTAGGCTTTGGGAATTTATGAACTTTATTGATTTCCAGGTAACGGGTACACCACCTAGCACCCATTTACTGGATCTGAACATGGGCCAAAGAAGGAAAGGATGTGACCAGGTCCCTGCCCACTTCAAGCCTAACACTCATCCTTCTACAGCACGCACTCCTGACACACACTCTTCCAGCACACATAGAGGTTCTGGCCATGAGGACTGTGTGAAGCACAGTATCTGTATGGTGTCTGATTTTTTCTACCCCAACATGGGTGGGGTTGAGAGTCATATCTACCAGCTCTCACAGTGTCTTATAGAGAAGGGCCACAAGGTTGTCATAGCAACACATGCATATGGTGACCGCCGTGGAGTTCGCTACCTCACCAATGGTTTGAAGGTGTATTACCTCCCACTACAGGTCTGTGTCTCTGGTATCAGAGAAATTAAAGGAGCGTTAGTATATATGAATAAATTTCATGCAAGTTTGTATATTTTTGGAGAGACATGACAGAGAAGTTCCTTTGAATGAAAAATAACATCTGAAAGTGCATGTATTAGCAAGGTTACTGACTGGTCCTTATTCTTGTAGGTGATGTATAACCAGTCCACAGCCACTACCTGCTTCCACAGCCTGCCTCTGCTCAGGTGTGTGTTTGTGCGTGAACGTGTGACTGTGGTGCACGCCCACAGCTCCTTCTCAGCCATGGCTCACGATGCCCTGTTCCATGCCAAGACAATGGGCCTCAACACTGTCTTCACTGACCACTCGCTTTTTGGATTCGCTGATCTCAGCTCTGTTCTGACCAATAAGCTGCTGACTGTGTCTTTGTGTGACACCAACCACATTGTGTGTGTATCGTATACCAGTAAGGAGAACACTGTGCTGAGAGCTGCACTCAACCCTGACATTGTCTCTGTCATCCCTAATGCGGTTGACCCCTCCGACTTCACCCCTGATCCAGGTTTCCGTGATGACAGCAAGATTACAATTGTTGTAGTTAGCCGACTGGTCTACAGGAAAGGTAGGAAGAAATATGGTGCCTCTCTACCTATGACACAAATAGTCTCATAATGTGGTCAACATTTAGTGATTGGTTGGTGGATTGGGGATTTCTAGGAATTGATCTGCTGGGGGGAATCATCCCAGAGCTGTGTGCCAATCATCCTGATCTCTGCTTTCTAATTGGTGGAGAAGGTCCTAAGAGAATTGTTCTGGAGGAAGTTAGAGAGAAGTATCAGCTTCATGACAGGTAAGAAAATAGGTATGTCTGAGTTTGTCTGTGTGTGTATGTTATAGTGACGATGTTCTGGATAATAGGACTCTTAGAGAAAAACTTTTTGTAGATGTATGTAATGTGATTATGTTAATAGGGTGCGTCTTTTGGGTGCTCTGGATCATAAGGATGTAAGAGACATTCTTGTGCGAGGTCATATCTTCCTGAATACTTCACTGACCGAAGCCTTTTGCATGGCCATAGTGGAGGGTGCCAGCTGTGGCCTGCAGGTCTGTTTTTGCTTATATGTGTGAGTTTGTATAGCAATTTTACAGTTATACCTAAATACTCATGGAAAAATACATCAGACTATTTGCCAATATTTGTTTGACTGTAAGACTATTTAGACTGTACACACCCTTTGCTTGTCTGCTGCATAGACCTGTAGTCTTGTGTATGTGTTTCTGTTTGTGTCTGTGTGTTTGTAGGTGGTGAGCACTCGTGTTGGAGGTATACCTGAGGTTCTTCCTGATGAGTTGGTGACTCTGTGTGAGCCCACAGTTAGCTCCCTCTGTGCTGGCCTGGAGACTGTCATCGCCAGGCAGCGCTCGGGCAACGTACTGTCTCCAGCAGCCATCCACCACCAGGTCCGAACGCTCTACACTTGGAGAAACGTTGCTGAACGTACAGAGAAGGTGTGTGTGTGTGCTTGATTAAAAATAATTTATTTGTATTTTGTCATGAGAAGGCATATTTGAAGAGATTGCGTGCATAAACTATATAATGTCTGGAGTTTGTCATATCAGTAATTGTTATTTTACTCAGTGCTAACTTACACAATAACCTGTATTGATATGTTATAAACAAGACACCAAAAAGGTTTTTTACAACATTTTAAGTTGTTTGGGATGAGCAAGATGATATTAAATGATAAAAAGTAAATATGCAAATATTTTTTATGTCTATTCAATCAAAAACACTACGATAACCAGATATTTAAAGTTTCAACTAATCTACTTTATTGTTATTTGTATATATATTTATTCTAAATTTGATGCAAACATCATGTTCAAAAAAAGTTGGGATAGGCTCAAGTGCACCACTGTGTTATATCACCTTTACTTTTAACAACAACATTCAGTAATTGTTTGGGAACTAAGGATACCAGTTGCTGTAGTTGTGAAAGTGGAATTTTTCCCCATTCTTGAGCTGCTCAGCAGTCCAGGTTATCCCTTGCCATATATTGCGCTTCACAATGGGTCATGTTTCCAGTGGGAACTGGGTTTGGACTGCAGGCAACCCAGTCTAGCACCGGCTCTCTCTTATTTATAAGATCACACTGTGATCTGTGAAACAAGCAGGAGCATCCCGGAGAAAGACGTTGTCTAGATGGCAGCAAATGTTACTCCAAAATGCATCTGTACCCTTCAGCTTCACAAATGTGCAAGTTACCCATGCCACAGGCACTAACAATCCCCTATACCATGACAGACTTCATCATCACTTTTATTTATGTAGCGACTTTCCTGTGCTCAAAGATGCTTACAATCAGACACTTTACAAAAGTAACAAATTACATATACAAATACAAATTCCCCCGACCATGGTATACAGTCAGTAGCCTTGTACCTGCAGTGTAGCGTCAAACAGACAACTGGTCTAGGCAGCCTCATAGCTGCTATACACTGCTATGCGCTGTCACTCAGACGGCCAATCCAGGCTGTTGTAGCTGCGTCACTCGATCGGCTGGCCCAGGCAGCCATCTAGCCCTGATACGTCGTTTAAGCAGCTGGTCCAGGCTGCATCATAGTTGTGATGTAATGTCTTTCAGTTGCTGTTTCAGTTGCGATGGTCCTTTTCCTTTTTTGGCCTGGAGAGCATGACAATGTTATTTGCAAAACAGTTGCCTCCCCTTTGCTTCAGTCAGTCTCAGATGTGCTTTAGCCCAGAAAAGTTGGTGGCATTGATTGTTGATACATGGTCTTTTTCCTGACAAGGATTTTCTGAAGTATTGCTGAGCCCATGTTATTATATGCATTACAGGAGCATGTCGGTTTTTAATGCAGTGACATCTGAGGCAGAAAGGTCATGGGCATTCAATATTGGTCTTGCCCTTTATGGACTACCGATGGTGAAATCCCTAAATTCCTTGCAATCATGTGTAGAGAAAAATTGTTCTTTAAACTATTGGACTATTCATTCACAGCTTTTCACAAAGTGGTGACTGAGCCTTTAATGAATGTTCCTTTTTTTACCCAATTATGATAGCCTCACATGTTACCTGTGGATAAAACCCATGTTTTTGATCATTCCACAATTTCCTAGTATTATATTGCCCCTGTCCCAACATTTTTTGGATGTGTTGTACAGACATCAAATTTGGAATTAACCTATGTTTACAAATACATATAGTGTTGCATTTTACCTACTGTCCCAACTTTTTTGGCTTGTCATGATCATGAAATTTCAGCTGAAAATTAATTGCCATGCAAATAATAGCAATTAACAATTTAATTGTCTTTTATGTTCCTTACATGCAACTATTAAAATAAAGGCCTATCATAGCCACATTTGTTGACTAGCTACAGTGGACTGCTTGACTGCTTTTTCTGCTTTGTTTTACTTACATGTATTTATCCCTACCCAACTGGCAGACACACCCAATTCAAATTATATTTGTTGCAAGGTAAACATCATTGTAGTAGCTAACAACTGGAAAATAATTGAGATTATATAATAATTTAACAAACTATTAACTAATTTTTTTCAATTTATCTGCCTCAGGTTCCGATCACCATTTTTCAGATGCGAGTAATTACTGATATTAATTGTATTATAGCTTTCTCGGTTACTTAGGAATCATTTCAGTCACAGCTCTGTTCAAGATTCTGGGCACATCTGAAATTATATTTATTTCCACCTTTCTACAAGTTAATTGAAACTTATGAAGTTGTACAGTACTAGCATCATATGAGAATCATTTTCTTTATATATCTGCAAAAAAAATGAAGATTGGTTTTATATTATAGAAAAACACTAGTTACAAACGTTTGAACAGTAGTGTATTACAGTATGTTAGAGTCCAGTATAAACTGCTGCCATTTTATTAGACAATAAATGTGTTTGTGTGTGTGTGTTGTAGGTGTATGATCAGGCATGCAGGCAGCCTGTCTTGCCATTGCCCGCTCGACTGCGGAGGCTGCGCTCCCACTGCGGTGCTGTCGCAGGTTCCATCTTCTCCTTCATTGCCGTCATCAACTTCCTCTTCCTGCTGTTCCTGCAGTGGCTTCACCCTGATCACCTCATTGACGTTGCAATGGACACATCTGGCCCACACAGCTGTTGGAGGAGATTAAGGAAGGAAAAGCCTAAAGACTCAAATTCTGCTGTCATCTGATGCTGGTATACATAACAAGACACTGTTGAATTCTGGACAGCTGGCAGTCCTGTATTCAAAAAATTGTTGAGATTAAACTTTTTCCTTAGTTAGGAAGTCTTTTGAAATTCTAGAGAGTGTAGTGAACATTTCTGTTTACATTCCAATGAAAGGTATCTGAAGACATTAGAAGGATCTTCCCTGTTCCTCAGTATGTCTAAGGATCTGACGTTTTTTTTTTTTTTTTGTCTAACCTCTGCTGGAGGAGATGCACAGTGTTCACCTACAGGAATATCCAGTTTTCCTGTTGTAGCACTGGCTGTTGTTTTTCCAGGCAGTAATGAAAGGGCCCCATGCACTAATCTCTTTTCATATCAGTGTACTGTTTACCTTAAAGTCATTGCCTTTTCTTTTGTTCACCAGCTTAAGTACATTTAACTCATCAGCATAGTTTCTCTACTCAAAAAACATATCCTTCATCTTGAGCTCATGCTATTAATTTTGACTTCAGCAACATGACTCCAATCTTAGCCTTACTTACTTCAACCCTCTGTTGAAATGGTAATATGTATCCAGCAGAACTAAAGGGGAATACTTGTTTTTTTTTGTTTTGTTTTTTTTTTCCAAAATTTGCAATTTTCCATCATTGAGATGTATACAGAGTCATTCTGAGTGTTTAGATGTGAATTTCTTTATAATGGAGGTGGTCGAAACCAGGGGTTACAATATCTACAACACAAATATAGCCATTTCATTAACTGTCCAAAATCACCAGAGATCCTATACATCTGAGTTTTTACATGTAATGTTGATATAAAATAGTGGTAAATCTGGGTCTGTTTTGCCTTACATCACCCTGCATGTACCTCTCCAGCATGAATGACTTTTAAAAATGTTTTAGACCAAAACCCAATCTATAAAGTATTGTAAAATAATGGCATGTAATAGCTTTCTGTGAGGGAGTGTTTAGAGGCACTAACTCTTCAGACATCTGGTTCTTCACAAAGTTTCTCTCGAATTGTGTTTTTTAAGCCTGAGTTTTAGTCTGAAGTCACTGTTGGGTGTTTTATTACTGAACAACTCGGGTTTAATATGTTTTTTATAATTAGTTTATTTCAGATAGCCTCTTCTTATGACTTCATGTTTGCCTTGGCCATAGTGCTCTTTTGTAATTACAAAATGTATGATGATAATATAAATGTTTTTATACTACTTTGATAAAAGAAGCATGTGCTCTGTGTTGCTTATGTAAATTTAAATTATACCGAGCTGACAGATTATCTCTATTAAAATGTGCAAAAATTGGCATGATTTGATGTGGTTTCAGTTTACTCTATTTTTTTCTTTTTCATTTTGCATATTTAATTATTTTCACTTAATTTCTCACAGTTAAGAGTTTTCCAGTAGAATTTTTGTGGTTCAAAAATAATAGAAAAGTAAGGATTTGTTTGTGTGAAAGACAATAGCACAGTCTCAGTTTCAGAGCTGCTATGCTGATACCCAAACAGCACTGATAATGCAGACACTCCTCTCAAGGCTGAATACAGGAGCATCGTTAACACACTGTTCTCACCTTGTCTGACTGTTTTCACACACATAAGCTTGCAACTTCTCATTCCTGCATAGTTTAAGGAGTGAATCGCTGTAATGTTTATGTAAATATAGATTTATAGAAATGTAAATGGCGCAAAACCTTACAGGCACATTGTGCCTTAATTCAAATTTGAGTGAACAAATGTTTTTCTACTGAGCCCATGCCCGTCAAGTTATTTAATTCAACCTATGAGCCTACTAAACATACCAACTTTGTTTCTCTACATTTATGTACAAGTAAGGTAAGTAGGTGATTTTTTTTGTGTTTAGTTAGGCTTTGCGAATCTCAGCAGGAACTGTGGATCAAATTCTTCAAAATGTTAGTGTTTGAAAGGATGTGTTTGAGAGGCAAAGTGAAACTCTGTTTCTGTTTTCTGTTACAGAAATCCTATGTCCCATTGTTATGTAGAGGATCTTCACTCCTGTGTGGGGGAGTGATGTATGTGTGAAGGGATATCTGCATGATAAGTGGTGGGTGGTACAGTTTGCTAAGGGGAGTGTGTTTTTGTGAAGGCCATATAATGTGAAGGCCCACTGCACTGCATGCTTGCACCTTTGTTGTTTTTTCAGAGCACAAGCTGTAGGAAGTCTGAAAAATGAATGTGATGCACCCTGAGGTCTTTGTAGGGAGTCAACTTACGCAATATAACTTTCAGCTGTATGGGGGACAAGTGTGTAACACGCTTATGGCAGGTAAGTTTTTTCTTACTGACCATGTAAACTTATGAGGCTTGTTTGCATGTGTTCATGGAAAAGGAGGCATAGGTCTGGGTGGTAGACTCTATAGTACAAACATGATAATTCATTCACTGTAAAATGAATTAGGCAGTGAACTATATTATCCTAGCTAGGGCTGAACCATTTGCGGAAAATCTAATTATGAGTTTTTGGTCAAATGCTATTGTTGTAATTTAAATGTGATTGTTTTCTTTAAATTAAGTTTCAGGCCTTTTTTGGGCATAAATGCCAGCACATACATTTTTTAGGCTTGAGGCTTGAATGCTGAATGTAGTGTGCTAGACTGCCAGTTCACGAGCTCTGCATTATAATATTGCATTTCTCCACTCTTAAGACATCTGTGAATAAAGTAGAATATTATTTAAATTACAATTGCAGTTATTGTTATTTGAAACTTGCACACTTTCAAATTTGCAGCCCTAGTTCTAGCTACTTTTCAGTTCTATTAAGTGCCACTTCTTACATACAGCAACCTAGTTCTATTTATTACATGAATTGCTCAGCAATTGATAATACCCAGTTAAATTGATTACTTATCTAAACTGCTGGATTGTGATTTAGGTCAGTGGTTCCCAGCCCTAAGCCAGGAGCACCCCTGCCCTGCGCATTTTGAAGTATGTCCCACTGCCACCTTCAACTCAAAAAGGGCTTGCTAATTAGCTGATTATTGCACCGGGTTTGTTAGAGCATGGAAAACTCTAAAATGTGCACAGCAGGGGTACTCCAGGAACATATTTGGAATGCAGTGCTTTTGGGATGTCGCCAAATAATTAAAAAAAGTAACCACTTAGGGTTACTGATCACAAAAAGTCAGTTTAACATTGTTTCAATGCTTCTGTGCACTGTTTAGAGTTGGTCAGAGATAACTTTGTTGTCCATGAGAGAGACCCTGGGGGATGGGCCTGCTCATGGCCTCAGTTTGTAATATTGTGTGTTCTCCAGGTTCTTGGACAGACAGAACTCCTCTCCACGATGCTGCTTTGCAGGGTCGCCTGCTCCCACTGAAGAGACTTCTCTCTCAGGTACAGAAAGGACACAGACAATTTATATAGACCAGTAAATCTTTCCTGAATGCTTTTTTTTTTTTTTAAATGAAGAATAACACTAAAGGCCAAAGTCATAGGCATGCAGTTTTTTAAATTTCAGAAATATTTCACAATTAAGTTAATTTGTCTGCAGCAGGAGTACTAATGTCGTTTAACCAAATATTTTTTTTCAAAATATTTCACCTCTTTGCAGTGACTTTATTGTTACTCTAATGAAATATATATGTAAAAGGCCTTCAAGTCTTTGCTAATAACATTCCTTACATTACTTACATTGAGCGGTTGTAAATTATTTACAAAATTCACAATATAACACGCTTGATTTAGTTAATTAGGCATTCAGGAGCATCTGAAAGTGTGAATCAGGTGAACACATTTAGAGCTGCCTTAGTGTAAGTCTTAAAAACTTAAAAAAAAAGAGTAAAGATGTGTGTTCATTATCTTCAGAAAAAAAAATATGTTATAAAGTTAGTGTTGCATCCACATGTTTGGCCTGAATTGTACATATACATGGATAGCTGACAAATTGTACATCAAGCAGCAGCATTTAAAATAGAACCAATAAGTTGTCCCTTTCCAGTCATCACTTATACAATTTTTACATGGAAGCTAAGGGTGTCACGGTACATAGAAGTCACGTTTCAGTTGACATCATGTTTCGGTACAACCCTAAAAGACAAAAAAACCCAAATGCATAAGGCTAAGTTTCTTTCCATTTATTTTGAAAAGACAATCGTGCAAATTACAGTTTGTTCCATCTTGTGATGTATAGCACCGGGATGTACCGTTACACCCATAATAAAAGTATATATAATACCAGTAACATATGCAGTCTGTAAGCCTGAGTAGTTGTCTCATGCTTGTGTTTGCACAGGGACTGCCTGTTGGTGTGGTCACACTGAATGGCGTCACTCCGTTACATGAGGCTTGTCTTGGTGGCCATTTGGCATGTGCAAAATTTCTGCTGGAACATGGAGCTGATGTATGTTGATGTACTGAACTGCCACTACACATTCTCTTTTTCTCTCAGTGTAACTCTCGTTCCTCACTATATTTTTGTAATCATAAGTATGTGTGAAACAGTTTTTATCTGCGTGTACATGCTCTCTCAGGCAAGTGCTGTGTCTGTTGATGGAGCCACACCTCTCTTTAATGCCTGCTACAGTGGAAACTCTGCCCTCCTCAGTCTCCTTTTGATGCACAGCTCTGTCCACCACCCAGCTCACCTGCTCAACTCACCTATCCATGAAGCAGCAAAGAGAAGTGAGTTTATTCATGTAAACTTTTTTGGAGTGTGTTTATTTTGTCTTTGCTCCAGCCGTATTCTTTTGATAAATTTGAGCTTTTTTTGCTCTCACTTTTTAGTTAATAAAGAAATACCTGCAAAAATCTTGTTAACATAAAACAGACATTTAAGAACACTAGATATATTTTTACTTCTTTGGTATGAAGAGATGGTTTGCCTAAATCGTAAATTGTTGGTTTTGTTTTCCAATATTTTTTAATATTCTGAAAATGCTCCCAAACTTGGGACAGTTTCAAGTGTTGCTCTGTGAATATTGTGGTGAATATTATTAGGCATTATTATTAGTACAATTTGTGTTCGTTGACTAAAAATGAAGTTTAAATCAAGTTTATGTGAAGGTGCTTGTGATTGCATTTGAGATCACACAGAGTGTGTGGAGCTGCTGCTGTCTCATGGTGTGAATGCTGATTTGGAGATGGCAGGAGTGGGGACGCCGCTGTACTGTGCGTGTGAAGCCAGGAGCACAGACTGTGTGCAGAGACTTCTCATCTTAGGTCAGTACAAACACATTATCTTGTTCAAACACAGGTGCAGGTTACAAATACAGGGAAATGAACTGCACTGCAACTTCCTCTCTGATAGGCATATTAATAATGCTGAAAAAAGTTTGTTTTTGTTTGCAAAAACCATATTTAACATTATTTATAATACATTATAAAATAACAAGAAATTCAAAAGTTGTGAGATGATTAAAACACCTTGATGCACCCCAGCTATTTCCTGTATTCCACTTGTACACCTGATTTCACAGAAAGTATTAATTAGCCTAAAACAGGTAATTACAAAGAGGCTTGTAAATGGTAATGCTAACATACTGCTAGGCATGAAATCATATTTTATTGTGTTAAAATTTGTTTTAAATGTCTTCTTAGTGTTTTTCAGAGCAAATCAACACTTACTGCCAAGATAAATAGCTTTAAACATCATTTTTCCAGATGGCTTATTTTGTATGGACAGTACTGAATATTAAATAATGTTATTAAGTGTTGTATACTGTTACTGTGTCCTTAATGGTTCAGGTGCTGATGTGCACCAGGGGTGTGGCCTTGACGCACCACTGCATGCTGCTGTCAGAGTGGGCGGAGTCAAAGAGGTAGCGCTGTTGCTGGAGCATGGGGCTGATGGGAAACGTAGGAATTCAGAAGGCAGAACACCTCTTGACCTGGCTACAGATAACAGCATCAAACATCTACTGCAGACAGCAGGCAAGAGAACACACACACATATTTTTCGGTTGTATAAAAATACACAAACACACTAATTTTCGTGTGTTCTTGCATTTTAGGTCCATGCTCCCTGTCACAGATAAGCAGGTTGTGCATTCGTCGTACTTTGGGCCAAAAAAGATTGAACAGAGCAAGAGTGCTCTATTTACCACATATCTTGCACAATTATGTTCTGTATCAGTAACACATAAACACACACACACTGCTTATGCCACAAAATACACAGAATGCATTTGTAGTTACACACATTTTTGTAAATGATTTTAAATGTGTTTGCTGACATTAAAATAAAAAATATATATTCAGCTATGATTGTTTATTGATTTTGATGAGTCCTTTAGGTTGAATATTGCATTAATTTCTGTTGGCAGTACAAATTCTTGTTTTACCAGAGGTAAACAACAGACGGCAACACAGTAACAATTAAAATGAGGGTTGATGTGTTCAGTTGAACTGTTTACATGTTTGAGATCTTTTGAGATTTTTAAACAATTTTTAAAGATCACTATAATCATAAAATATTGTGTGTTAAAGATTCTTATTCTGACGCTAGTCCAACATTACAGTGTCAGCACTGGGTGCACCGATTTCAACTGCACACTCACATTGTATAACCTGTATTGGAAAGCATTGCCAATAGAAAGGGATGGTCTGGAGCAGCTGCACATGAGCCTAAGGTCACCATGCCCAATACCAAGCATCTGCTTGATTGGTATAATGCTGCTCAGCATTGGGCTATGTGGGGCAGTGAAACAGCGGATTCTGAAGTGATGGAATACACTTTGCATGAGTGCCCTTTGTGTTCTATCATCAGTAGATGACCTTACTAATATTCCTGTCGTTGAATGCAATCATCACAACAATGTTAAACATCTAGTGTAAGGCTTTACTATAAGACTAAAGGCTGTTACTGCAACATTAAGGGGGCAAGTGTCTCTAAACATTGGACGAATGGGCATAAAGTGTAGATATTTTATTGGTGTGGGTATATCAAAATGCTCCAAATTTGTGAGCAATTGTTTCTGTATTTGCTCCATATTTGCTCATCATTTGACTGGCGACATTTTGCAGCCAGCTGCTATGTTTTTATACCTAAACTCGACTCTACATTACTGTATTGCAAGGCGATGTTGTGCTTCGCTGCACTTTATCTGTGCTAAGCGGAGACGTGAGGGGGATTCCAGCTGGCTTACGCGCGTAATGCAAGCGTATAGCCCAAACCACACCTCCATATAGTCGAGCCTCCGCCCCCGCATTGAGCCACTCGGATGGTGGAGTTCTCTCCTTAGCCCAACAGTATTGACAGTATCCAGTCAGTCACATACAGGTCTGCACTTCATTACGCGCAGCGCAGTGCTGCCTTTTGGCGTATAACGACGTAAAAGACGGTCGTCGAGGTAGGAGTTGCTTTCCTTCCTAAAAGGTCTAGGTGGTCGTTTTCTCTCAGAAATCAGGGAAACCCACACGACAGTGTCCTCGTTTGAGGAGGGAAAACGGCGACGCTGAGGAGGAGAGCAGGCGGAAAAAGCGGGAACTCTGATGGTCCTTTTCTTTTTCGTTTTTCTCTCGTATTCGAACAGCATTGGAAACATTTGAGATGATTATTAGTCGAAAGGTGTTTTAGTCTGGCATGTTGTCATACGGTTTAACGGCTTATATGAATATACTAATTTGTTCAAACTGGAAGTGGCCATAGCAGCAGCCCTCACTGATGAAACGAGGCCAAGGCTCTTAGGAATGAAACAGCCTTTTCCTGTTTTCCTGCTCTTTCCTCACCGGCACGTACGAGTAGCTTCGTCCCTATGCCAGCTGTTGGAACAGGTGCAATGCAGCAGACGACAGGGTCCTTCTTTCTTTTATTTTCTCTTCTGTTTTTCTTTGCTTTTCTTCTTTTCTGTTAAAATTGTCCTTGGTGTGAACAAAAGTTCCCAAATACCACTGTGGATACAAAGGAGCAAATGAGCCTGTTATGGCCCCATTTTCGATCTGATTTTATTGTGACCGATGAAAAGCTTTTAAAAATGAACAAGAAAACACGATTCATGTTTAAAAGTAGGATAAAATATTTGCATATATTGCACCGGTAATCCAACTGTGGATTTGGGATTAGGCTACTGAGGCTTAGTGTATTGGTGAATGGTTATGTTTCAAAGTCATTATGGTGACGTTTGATTTGGCTCCAGGGAGAGCTGTCTACAGCCATCAGAATTTGGTTTAGTATCTGATGTCTTTGTGTTAAGGTGGTATAAGGCAACCAAAAAGGCTTTTCATCTGTGGTCTAAAGACCCACACGTGAGAGATATCTGTTTCTGGCAGCAGTATGTCAAAAGTTTCACTTAGTATCTAGAAATAATCACTTAGTATCTCAGGTTTTTTGATTTTTTGATTATTCTCATAATAGTGACAATGTCAAAAAAGTTTGATGTACTGTGTTAAACAATAATGTTCTCAACAAATTGACTTTATATTCATGTTTGAGTTCTTAAATATTTTTGGGGGGATTGTATGTCATTATTAAATATTAGAGTCACTGAAAAAAGGTAAAACTTATAAAAATAGGTTATTTTGGCATAGTAAACTAGTACATAACAAGGCTGACTTCAGGAGGAATCATGTCTATTAACTATTGATGCATGTCTGTGGTTGATGCAGAAAGGTAACGCAGGTACCATGTTTTTTTCTTAGTATTTTTTATTTTTACTTATTACGGCATCAAAATAACATAATAAAGAAAACACAGGGTTCCTATTCTACATTCTCATTATTATATGTCCTAGTTGCACAACACTCTTTAACAAAAGGTGCCAAAATGGCTCCTTGCTCAGTGCCATAGAAGAATATTTTTTTGATCCCTAAACAACCTTTCAGTGGATGTCTTGTTTCTTTTTTTTATTTGGTATAGAGGCTTTTATGCTTAAAGAACCCTTTGTGGTACTTCTGTGGTACTTTTAATGTTCCCTATTCAGGAAGTATCTGAAATTCCATCTCGATTATAAGTAAATAAAAGTTGAAAGAGCATCAAAAATGTGCTCCAGTGTATATCAGTTTCCACAATAACACTGCATATACAAATTTAATATAGTTAAATTAAATGTAAATAAAGTTATCATTTGAGTTATGCTTAACTTGCTCATAGAAATAATGCATATTTTTAAGTGATATGATAGTGACATCATTTAAGCTTTAAGAGTAGCCAAGGCTTGAAAGCTGCTAAGTTCCAATCTCATTCACCAATGATAATCTGTTATCTGCTGACCTAGTCAACCTACACTATGATGGCAGAATATTGTCCAATTACATAAAATATAGGCCAGTTAATAAGAGCCTTTTACCAGTGGTACTGTCAAATTCTTCCGCTGGTTGCACTGGATAGGCATGGAAGCAAACAGCTACACAGTGGAAATGAGTATGGGTAACCTATGTTTTAGCATTGGTTACTGCTTAGTTTGTAGACCTAGTTAAACAGAATCATGTTCATTTTGCAGCACTAACTATTGCTATTTGTAGCCATGAACATTGCTCTTGATTTATGTTCAGTGTGGTGAGATTTACGACAAAGATGTTTTTCTAATTAATTTTTAGCTTTGAAAATGGGTGATAAACAACATCCTTTCATCTGTCATGTTATTGCAGAGCCCCCAGCTCTCGTGCATTGGGTGTGAGACTCATGCATTTAGGTCTCATGCTCTCACGCCACACTTGACATTTCTTTTGCATTTTTGCATCTCAAAACGACCTGCCGATGAACCTGAACGGTCATAATGTTTACTCCAGCTTTACTGACTAAAAAACAGTTTGGACCGGCAACAGCAGATTACTTGAATTCAAAAGAGGGAGAGCACACTGGTTAGTCACCGCCAGCCCATGTGCGTTTCAGATCAGTGGGCGCAGGACCAATATCCATAGCAACAGTAAACCAATGACAGACAACTTTAGAAGATGAATTATTTCTGTGGTGCACAATTGAAAAGTACTGCAGTCGTATATCTGAAGTGAAAAACCTTCACTAAACACACAATAAACAGCAACATATAGCGAGAAGTGAAGGAAAATTAAAAAGTGAATAACCAACTTGGTCAGTAAACTGAACATGATCAATAACAAAACAATTCAACAACTGATAAAAGCAAGAGCAGCATCCATGTCTAATGTTATACACAGCAGCACAATTTTATGCTGCAAAATGAACACGGTCCTGTCTTACTGACAAGAAAAACAGTTTTAGCTGAACAGCTAAAGCTAGGCTATTCTTACACATTTACACTGTGTAGCTGTGAGATTTTAAATCCGTGCCTATCGCCGGCTACCAGATGAAGAATTAGACCACTGGTTACTGATAACACACAATTTTTAATTGGTCTATATTCTATGTTAGCTGTAATTGGACTGGATTCTGCCCTCTTCAGAGTTACCACTTTAGTGGAGAGATAACAACAAATGTTACATTACTTATTCATTGCAGGAAACCACAGAAATGTGGACGAGCAAATGCCAATTCAATTCAAAGCAGTTTTGGCTTGCCTCACTATTAACTCTGTTTGTCCATGAGTATTTTCCCCACACTTTTCTAGGATGAAACAATATGGGAAAGCATTCAAAGCATAAACATCATCTCCTGTTTATGCATATTGGGGCAGTCATTGGCTGGAGGTTAGGGAGGTTAGCCCTGTGACTGGAAGGTCGCTGGTTTGATCCCCTGAGCCGACAGTACGTGACTGAAGAGGTGCAGAGGTGAAATTTCCCTGTTTTGGGACTAGTAAGGGTCACTTAATAAACTTTTGCTATGATGCGAACGTGCATGCGTGGAACGTGCTTAAACTTTCCATGTGGAAATGTAATAGGATGTAGGTGTTTACATGGCTATTATTCTTCTGTTTAGCGGATTATTTACAGGATTACCCACCTCATTCTGTCGGATAGAAATTGTAGTCTATTCCGATTTGAGGTGTATACATGGATGTATTCTGTTCTGACTGAGCTGTTAATCAGATTATTAATGGATTATCAGGCTGCATGTATACGTGACTACTGATGCTGATTCACAAACATTTTTATATCTTTCTGATGCTGATATTTTTATTTAGGCAAATGTCTGTCAGTATGATTCTGATATCATTGTGCATTTCTACTCTTTTACTCCTTTTCTTTTTGCTAAGAAAGCTGAGATGTTTAACAGAAATTTCCTAGTTGTTCCAAAAGCAGAACAATATGACGCAATATGTTTTAACTATATTGAGCAGCATCCTTTGGCCAGAACAACTTGAGTTAACCTCTAGAGCAACCAATTGACATCATCTACCCAACGTGCATTGCACATCTAAAATAATGATGACATCCATATGTCAGTTATCTTAAATAAAGCCATAGATTTTTAGAGAACATAAAATATTGTGTGTGTATTTTTACAACATATACTGAGGTCTTTCCAATTAACTTTTGGGGTAGGCTTTTTAGAAAGTATTTGAGCTTAGTAAGATCTAAACTGAACTTTCACTTAGGCTAATTCACAGCCGAGACATTTCACTAAACTCACCATGTCGGCCTGTTTGATTGTGTCAGAGAAGTTGTGATTCTAACAGGATTAAGAGCTTGAAACCATATGTTAATGTCAACAGTCTAAAACAGATGGCAGAAGTTACTTGAGGTTTGAACAGCACCTTTTAATCCATCTCTGATAAAAACTCATTAAGATTCCAATGAGACTAATCATGTCTTGCTTTGAGGTGGGTGATGACGGTGCTGCGTCAGGTGTGTGTGTTACTAACAGTATATGTGGGTGGTTTTGCACTGATTTTGTCAGACAGTAGGGGAGACTAGACATTTCAGCTACAGTACCAGTCACTGTGTTGATGGAGACATGTCACTGCTTGTTAACCCAAAAAATATAAGAGCAAATCAACTTGAGGAATGTGTTGTTGTACACCTATATGTGTGGCTATTTCCGATAGCAGAAATGCAGACACAAAAATAGTCTAATTTCATCCTTATTCATTGGATGTAAATATAGGATCCTTGTACAGAGAACAGAGTAATTAGTATTTCTTTGCGCTAAAGGATTTGTGGCTTTCATAGAGTAAAGTAAATCATATCGAAACACATGCCAACTTCCCTCAGTCAGTATGAGAAAGAGCAGAGAAAACAGCAGTGATGTGCGACAAAAGGAAATGACTACAAGAAAATAATTTACACAGTTTAAAATGTCCTTTTTCACTATGAGGCAATAATTTAGAAATTAAAAACACCTGGAGATGTTAAGAATCTGCCAGGAAGAGAACATATGTCTGTATTGACCCCATGAACAGTGACGAGGATGGTTCAGCTGGTAAAAAGAATCTCCAGGGATCACAGAAAGGGAATTGCAGACATTAGTTAGGTCTTGGGGTCTGAACATCTCACAGACTAAAATCAAATGCTACCTACATAACCACAAGTTGTTTGAGAGGGTTGCCAGAAGAAAGAGCCAACAATCTTAAGCACCTACAGTTTGCTATGAGCTTCTGATACTTTCAGTAGGACCATGGTCAGAGGACACCAAAATAGAGCTTTTGGCAACATGTACCAGAGGAGAGTTTGGTGTAGACACAAAGACAGCCATGAAGAAAAGTACCGCATCCCCACTGTTAAGTATAGTGGTGGATCTTTCATGCTGTGGGGCTGTTTTTCTTCCAAAGGCCCTGGACAGTTTATTTGGATACATGGTATCACAGACTCTATCAAGTACCAGCAGAAATAAAATCAAAACCTGACTGCCTCAACCAGGAAGTTCAAACTAGGCCATGGTTGGATCTTCCAGCAGGACATTTCAAAATCAACACAAAAGTAGTAGATCACAGAATCAAGGTTTTTTTCCAAAGTCATTCCAGTCCCTTGACCAGTACTAATCTACTAATTTACATTTTTCAGTTCTGTGGTGGTGTTTTTAAAATCCTGTTAATAGATCCTCTCTAGAGCATATTAAAAATTGATGAGCCTCATCAATAGAAGGCTTAGTGTTTGTGGTGAATGTGCATGCTGCATTAGATTAGTCTTATTATCTGCTCCGGCGGGTTCAGACTGTCAGCTTGCTGGCCTTCTTTCTGAAGGTTTCTGCACTTAACTACATTTTCCATAAATCTTTTGATGTTTGTACTATCTGTCAATGTCTTTTCCATCTGCTTTACTAGAATTCCAAGTGCTAATAAAACAAAGGTGTTAACAGTTGGTAAGTCAGGGTGCTAATTGCTCTCTCATAATTAGTGCTTCTGTCAAGTGTGTGGGCATGTGTTGTGTAACACCAGGTATGGGGATGGTGTGCGTGTGTGTGTTTGCTCAGGGCAGAGTGTACACCTACAGGTGTGTGTGTGTGTACACAAGGTGGGAGCCTGGGAGAAAGCACACCTTGTGTCACCATGGAGCTTGTTCATTGCTGCTGTGCAAGAGCAGTTGCACACAGCAAAGTTTCATTCTTTTTCCTGTCCTTACTCTCACTGCCACAGTACACAAGCCACTATGTGATCACTCAGTCACTTATTGACAGTCACTCAGCCTTAAATCTTAAATAAGACATAGTGTTTAACAAAACATGATATTTATGAAGCCTAAGACCATATTATAAGACTTGGATGCAATTTATTTGTTTATAGCCTGTATTGTTCACAATTATTATGTATAACAAAAATGTTGCCAGTGATTTTACAAGTTAATCTTTTGACAAATTACATAAGGTTGGGCATTTTGGTATGTAGATTCATGGCTATTTTCTTGGAGGTGCTAAAACTTACCTCACATGCTTACATACTTAACCTGGAAGGAGAGTAAATGCTGAACCTAGCTCTTTCACTGAACATAACATGCTCGGTTTGTGTTATCTATACTATCTTGTGATTACTGTATTATTTAGCAGTTAGTTGTTTAACCTATGATTACTACTAACAGATTATTTCTGATTTTACAGAATGGCTACAGACTTCTGCAGGTGAAAATTTGCACAGAGACAAGGACCAATTTTCAATTGACATTCAACTAGTTGCAGAAACTTCAGGATGAGTCACATGATCTAAAGGCCTTGCTAAGCCATGGAGTGACTTTGAACACTCAGTGTTTAAGTGGTGTGACCAAACATCTGAACTGTCATGGCCAAGACAACAGAGGTTCTCAACCTGTCCTTCCTCCTGGAACATGAGCGAGAGCTGATCCTCAGTGTTCTACAGAAAGACGAGAAACTCCGCAAACGAGAGGAGAAGCGAATACGGTAGCTTCATGCTTTTTTCTGCTTTATCCCCTATAAAGTGTGAATGACTGGAATATGGTCAAAAGTCCTTGGTCTAAGACAAACTGTTTTGCAATTTGGACAATTTAGCTCCATCTAACATTTTTTGCGGATTTGCATAATACGAGAAATCTAATTAGCAAACTAGTCCTAGGTTTTTCATTACTGTATTACTTAACAAAATGACTATATAGTGATATGATATAAAATGCTATATGAATACAGCATATATATATATATATATGTATGTGTATGTATGCTGTATTCCTATAGCATTTTATATCACATATATAAAAATACTTATCTCTACAGTGCTGTGGCCTAGAAAGAACCCATTTGAGCACCCCAGCTTTACAGTATCAATCCTCTACAAGAGTGTTTCTTAATCTAGCATTTGTGTAACCCAGTCAGCTTCCATATATATATATATACTTTTTTCTATGCATTTCTGAGCTGTGTATTTTGTTGTTGTTTCTTTCGTATTTACTACCCATCTGTCCATTTACCTAGTAAAAGCTTAAATAGAGTCCTTTTTTTGAAGTTGCTGGCAGGAGTGTTTGCTGCTTCCTGCTGTATCTTGCTAGTCTCTTTTTACCTTTTCAATTAGCTGCTGCATATTACTCGTAATTAATTACAACCACCGACTTTTGGAAGTCACTTCTTCTCTCATCGGATTCGCGAGACACCTGGAACAGAATTCAGCCCAGGAAACAATGTAAGTATCAGTATGGCAGACCGTGAGCTGTTGCATCCAGAAGTTAGAAAAGAGCAGGGCTCGTCAGCAGGGCTTAGACTCACTGTTAGAAGCTCCAGGTGCCCAATGGTATCCACCCATTATGGGAGGGTGCTGCTCTCATTTCCTGTAGCATAGCTTGTAGTCTCTCAGACAGCCGTCAGTGTAGGACAATCAGTTGCTGACAAACCAGGGCCAAGGCCAGGCAGCAGACAAACAGGCTGACCATCTGCTAGCTGCCTTGAGACGCCACATAGGTTCCACCCAGTTGAGACTGTTTCTGTTCCCTGAATAAAACAAAACATCAACAATCCTCGAAAAGTTTGATCTACTAATTTAATCAATATCAGACCAGTTAAACCAGTTTGTAGTGACAGCACCTTTGGTCTAAAACTAGGACTGCTTAACATAAGATCTCTTACATCTAAGGCCATCATTGTAAATGAAATTATTACTGTTCATAATTTTGATGCCCTGTACCTAACAGAAACGTGGTTCAGATCTGATGAATACATTGGTCTAAATGAAGCCACCCCCACAGGCTGTAGTTATGCGCACACCCCTCATTTAAGAGGCCAGGGTGGAGGTATAGCAACCATCTATACAAAAGCTTTAGGCATGAGCCAGAAAGTAGGATACAAATTCTCTTCTTTTGAAATTATTTTTCTTAATATAAGTAATCGAGGAACAAATAAGAATTTCTTTTCACTAGTTACAATCTATAGGCCGCCAGGGCTGTGTTCTCAGTTCTACAGGAATTTTCTGACGTTCTATTAAGTTTAATACCATTTTCAAATAAAGTAATAGTTTACAGAGATTTTAATATCCACTTTAATAAACCACAAGATCCACTAAGTAAGGCATTTGTATCTATCTTAGACTATCTTAGACTGTGGGTTTCACTCAAAATATAAGGGGCCTACTCATTATTGCAGCCACACTCTTAACTTAATTTTGACCTTTCTAATTATAACCATTGCTTCACCTGTTTTTCCCTGTTTTTGTATTTTAATAGTTTATACTAACACTGTTTCCTATCTGGTGTCGACCAGAGGAGGATGGGTTCCCCTTTTGAGTCTTGGTTCCTCCCAAGGTTCCTCTTGCTCTTAGGGAGTTTTTCCTTGCCACTGTCGCCATTGGCTTGCTCACTGGGGCTTGGACCCAGATTTTTCTGTAAAGCTGCTTAGTGACAACGCCTGTTGTAAAATGCACTATATAAATAAACTTTGACTTTGACCTTTGGTGTAAACATATTATTTTAGCCGTTCTCCCCTGGAGCACAGTGGACTATAACTTCCTCCAAAGCTGGTAACTTTATCAGAAACCTCCCACAATTATCAGCTTCTCTCTAATATCATACCAACTGCTTAGAGGATACTTTTCATTCTACTCTAGATAATGTGGCTCCATTAAAGAGAAAAAAATTAAGGCAGAAAAAGCTTGCCCCATGGTACACTGATCATACTCGAGCTTTAAAACAGACTGTCAGACAACTAGAGCGAAAATGGCACCTGACTAAACTAAAAGTATTCCAGTCTGCCTGGAAGGATAGCCTTATAGAGTATAGAAGAGCACTTACTGCAGCATGCTCAACCTATCTCTCCTCTCTCTTTGAAAATAATAAGAATAATCCTATATTATCATTTAGCACTATTTCTAAATTGACTAAGAACCAGACAATTACTGAACCCCAGATGTCATCAGCCTACAGCAGCAAGGATTTTATGAATTTCTTCAGTAATAAAATTGAAAAAATCAGGCATGAAATTCAGAACATGCAGTTAAACTTCCTTACAAAGCTAATCCAGATCTTGAGAATATTGTAACTACTGCAGAGAGGCTGGTACCTTACTTCAACAAACAGAGCTAGTTAAAATTATTTCCTCCTCAAAATCATGTACTTGCATATTAGATCCAATTCCTCAAAGAAATTTTGCCAGAAACAACCAAGACTATTCTGTCAATAATAAACACCTCTCTTAGCCTTGGCTATATTTAAACTAGCAGTATTTAGACCTCTGATTAAGAAAGCTAATCTTGATCCCTGCAAACTGTCAAATTATAGACCTATTTTGAATCTTCCCTTTATATCAAAGATCTTGAAAAAAAGCTGTGGTAAAACAACTAAGTACCTATTTGCATAGGAATCTCTTATTATTCTCTGACCAAGGAAATGTATCTTTGCTAGTTCTCCTTGATCTTAGTGCGGCATTTAATATGATAGACCACTCTATCTTACTAGTTAGACTAGAAAACCTTGTAGGAATAACAGGAATAGCCCTTTCCTGGTTCAAATCTTACCTGACTGATTGCTATCAGATTGTAAATGTAAACGGTGAATCATCTGTTCTTGCAAAAGTAAAGTATGGTGTTCTGCAAGGTTCTGTTTTAGGACCTATATTATTCACATTATATATGCTACCACTGGGTACCATTATCAGTAAACACGGCATCAATTTCCACTGCTATGCTGATGACACACAGTTATATATATCAACAAAACCAGATGATAAACTTCAACTTAATAAGATTGAGGGCTGTATGAAAGACATAAAAGACTGGATGTCGAGTAACTTCCTTGTACTGAACTGTTCTTTATGGTCCAAAAGCTGCTAGAAACGACCTGTCTAATTTAATGCTTAAACTTAATAGTTTCTCAGTTGCATCAGGTACATCTGTAAAAAACCTTGGTGTCACGATAGATCCTAATCTGTTCTTTGTTGCACATAAAATAAATATTGCTAGAATAGCTTTCCTGCATCTCCGCAATATTGCCAGATTAAGAAATGCCTCTATAGGATTCAGAAAAGCTAGTATATGCATTTATTAACTCAAGGCTTGATTACTGCAATGCACTGATGTCTGAATGTTTCAGCAAAAGTCTTAACAAGCTTCAGTTAATCCAGAACGCTGCAGCCAGGGTTTGACCATATCAGCCCAGTTTTCTCAAACTTACACTGGTTGCCAGTTAAATTTTGCATTGATCACAAAATTGTTTTACTGACATATAAAGCTCTAAACGGCCTGTCCCCTCAGTACCTAAATGAACTTCTCTCTTATCATGAACCATCATGCCTGCTTAGATCACAAGGTGCTGGCTTACTATTAGTACCGAGAATTAATTAAGTTACATCAGGGGGTAGAGCCTTCTCATACAAAGCCCCCCAGCTTTGGAATAATCTTCCAGTGAGTGTTCGTGACTCGGACACAGCCGTCTTTAAGTCTAGGCTAAAAACAAACTTGTTTAGTCAAGCCTTTGGTAATTCGTTTTTCCTGTTAGATAAAAGGTACACATCTGGGGGTTCATGGACATAGAGTATTATGGTAAACTGGAAGTGTTGGTGCTGTCATTCTGCTGCTCTCATGCATTCACTCAAGTTTGCTGACGGTGGAGCTGAGGGGCGCTGGCATCTCAGGGAGCCCTTATGTCTCTGTTACCTTTCTGGCTCTCCCTTTCAGTTAGGCTGTAATAGCTAGACCTGCTGGAGTCTCTGCTGTACTCTGTTAACACTGTAAGCTGTGATGAGTCACTCTTTATGGAACTAACTCTCTGTGTGTTTTCTTTGCCGAGTTAACTTCTGCCTTGATCGAGTGCCCACTGCTCACCAATGTTCTGGACCAGTTCAACCACCATGGAGCTTTTCGCTGTACAATCCTGGGCAAACCTCACCTGCATGAACTGACCTTTCTGATGATACTGCTGCTGCTGCACAGACTCAAACTATTTAATAATAACAATTGCTTCACCTGTTTTCCCCATCTCTGTATTTTAATATTTTATACTAATGTTGTTTGCTATCCGATGTCGACCAGAGGAGAATGGGTTCCCCTTTTGAATCTTGGTCCCTCTAAAAGTTTTTTCTTCTTGCTCTTAGGGAGTTTTTCCTTGCCACTGTCGTTTTTTCTGTAAAGCTGCTTTGTGACAACGTCTGTTGTAAAAAGCGCTATGTAAATAGACTTTGGCTTGACTTGATTAGTTATTGTCTTTACTCAGGCCCTGGTTTGCTGGTTTTGTCCTTTTTTGTTATTAAACCTGCTAGATCTGGTGCCTGCTAGAACTGGTGCTTGCCGTCTCCACAGGAAGCTGAAGAATGAGCTCCTGGAGCTGAAGCGAGGCGGCCGGCGCAGCAACCCAGAACAGCGTGAGTGTGGTGTGTGTCTACGTGCTCTGGGCCTCATAGTGCAGAGGGGCAATGTGTGCGCTGACTGCCGACGCCGTGTTTGCAGCTTCTGCACGGCTGTGTCCCCAAACAGCAGTCACATCAAGTGCACTGTCTGCGCCAAGACTGCGTGAGTCATCCCGAAATTAATTTACACATGACAGGAGTTTTGGCCCAGAGTTACTTAAAGGCAATTATAGATCACTTAAGATCTGTTATTCTACCAATTGCGGTTTTCCCTCTTCAGCTGCTGACCAGTAAGTTTGAAAAATTCCTTTTACATATTTTGCAGTTGGCTTTCATACAGCCTCAGGATAAGACAATTCTTCATAGTTGGGGGAAAGAGCTAGCTGATCAAATCTGTTTACCCAACATATACCCTCAATTGGTAGAAACATTAACAGAGAAAAGCTATGCCATCCTTCCTACCCAGTAAAAATACAGCCAGTAGTGCTTTCATGGACTCCTGGACTCCTAGACCATAATATGATGAAGATTATCACAATATGATTAACTTATTACCATCCTGAAACTTAAATCTGTTTGTTCTGTCATTCAGAAGTTCAACTTTGATTGATTGATTTTTTTTTATTATTTCTTATTTTTTTTTAGAGAGCTAAAGGTGGTCACAGGGGAGTGGTTTCTAGAGGAACGAGCCAAACGCTTTGAGTGCATGACTGCTTCAAGCAGCGACATGATAAAACAGTCCATCCTGAACAGTCCACCGGGTGAGTCACAGATGACCCACTATTTGAATTTGTGTCACGTTTTTTTTTTCAGAAAACCTTTTTTGTTGGCTTTGTTGCATTTTATAAATGCCTATTCAATAATAATGTAAATGTAACTGATAAAAAAATGTTAGATTTGACTTTAATCATGCTTATGTCTGTTTTTGTTTGGAGATGGAAGTTCTGCCCAGAGGAAGTTTTCCCCATCAGGTCTGGACGGGACTGCCATGCTCCAGTCTGAGCGGTCAGCCACACCCCAGTCTGAGAAGAGCATGGGGTGGAGCATAGGCAAGAAGAAAGTGTAAGGTTATGCATAGCCTACATTAATGGGACAGTTGGAGCAGTATGTAAAATGTTAATAAGAAAAAGCAGTGATCAGTGAATTCTGTTTGACATTTGTTTAACAGAAAACAGCACAAACACAATATTTGATGTTTTGTTGTCACGTTGAGATAAGCATGGACGTCCCTAAATAAGATATTGACTAGAAGACAGCAAAAATGTGGCTCTAAAATGTGTATATTTTCAGAGTTAATAGTGCCGCGGGCAATATTACACCCCTATCATCAATAATATACCATATGCATTCGGTTGTGGCTTGTGGCCTTGCCCTTTATGATCAGAGATTTATCTGGATTTCCTGCATGTTTTATTGTGCATCGTAGAGAGTGAAATATTTAAAATACTAAAAAATGGCAAGCCTCAACCCATCTTTGCTCATAATGGACTAAGCCTTTCCTAGATGCTTCTTTTATATCCAAGCATGATTGAATCACCTGTTGGAAGATGTTTTTGAACATTTCACCATATTCCTTGTCTTAAATCGCCTGTGTCCCAGTGTATGTACCTTTAAAAAACAAAGAAGTTAGTAAGATGAATCATCAAATACCTGTATCTTGTCTGCAGGTCAAAGTGAATTTGGAAATCATTGTTTTCTGTTTTATATGCATGTCACAAACTGTCCCAGTGTTTTTGGAATTGAGGTTTGTAATAATAAAAAAGAAGGGAAAAAGTTTAATTGAAACTCATGAAGGGGGTCATACCTGATCAGTACAGCACAAAGAAACACAAAGATCAAGACTGGGTAACACAAGTCCACACTACTTGCATGTGTTTAAGTATTACAAAGTGTAGATGATCTAATGTCTGTGTGTCTTAGGACAAACACACTAGCTGTAGAGTCGTCAGGGCTACCAACCACACCTAACAACATGCGCTTCCAACCAGGCCGATCACCAACACAGGCTGAAGGGAGGAAAAGGGTAAGTGTGTGTCTGTTACAGCCCAGTAGACACACATATTATGGTTCATATAGCTCACAAGCATTTACAATGTTTATGTATGCATGTTTGTCTGTCTATGTAGAACCATGAGCACTCAAAAAACTGCATGATTAAAGGGTTCTTTATATCATGTAAGGGTTCTTCGGATTGATGGGAAATGTGCAGGAATGCACAGGCATGCAGGAACAGTTCTATATAGAACCTTTTTGAAAAAGGGTTCTATATTGCACCCAAAAAGATTTTTCTATTGTTACAAGCTTGACACTGTAACAATAGATAACCCTTTTGAGTGCTGTATAGAACTATTTTCAAAAAGGTGCTATGTAGAACCATCTACAGCACATTCTCAATCAGTCTAAAGAACCATTTCATGATGCAAAGAACCATTTAATCATGCAAAGGGTTCTTTGAGGGTTTACCATTCTATATAGAACCATATTTTTATAACTAAAGAACCCTTGAAGCACAATCTTTTGAAAGAGTGTCATATCACTCCCATTTTGATAGAACTGCACTGGCTACCTGTATCTTTCAAGATAGATTTTAAAGTTCTGCTACTAGTTTTTAAGGTTCTAAATGACCTAGCACCCGCTTACATCCCAGAACGTCTGTTTATGTTCCAGCACACGATCCCAGATCTGCAGATACTGGCTTTCTGCAAAAACCTACTAAAAAACGTGGTGAAGCCTCTTCTAGTTGTTAGGCTTCTAAACTGTTGAACTTAATTTCACCTTTTATTAGACGGTCAAGCTCTGGAATAAGTATAAGTATAATCTATAGGTATATAATATATATGTATGTGCGTGCATGTGTGTGCGCATGTTTTTGTGTGTGTGAGAGAAGCCTGATGGGGCTGAGAGTGTCTCCAGTCATTTTAGTAGTGACAGTGTTCCAGATAAGATCTACGGTGGGCGGAACCAAATAGATTCAGTTACACCCTCTATCGCCGTGTCCAGAGCCTCACTCTCATCAGGTATAGCAACACCATGACACTCTTGATACTCTCTGTTCTAGTGAAGCTGGTGACAGTGTTCAATATTACACACACATACATCATAGTTTTCTTCCAAGTTCTGTGTTTGAGGAGAAAGCTTAATCCATCATCCAGACTTTGCTCTATCCTATGGACTGCTTTTTCACTAAGACTACAGACTATTTTACAGACTGTTTCTCTGTGACAAAGTTCCTAATTAAAGCAGATTGTGTGGATTTGGCTGTCCCTATTCCTGAACAGTTGGCTATATGCAGTAATACTCAGCATTTTTATAAAAAGAGGCAGAAGGAATTTGATCAACATTAATGTATTTACACATATTTGGCTGTCACAGTTGCTTAATTAAAATCAGTCAATGCTTAGTGATTACTTTGCAATTTGAATGATAAACAGGGTTTCGGCAGGTCATTATAAAGCTGTGTAGACAAAAGTATTGGGACATACCTCTTAATTATTGAGTTGAGTGTTTCAGCCATACCCATTGATTAATCATTCCAGAGCAGTGAAAATGCATTCTATGGAATGATGAATCATGCTTCTTTATCTGGCAGTCTGATGGATGAGTCTGGGTTTGGCAAATGCCAGGAGAACATTACCTGCCTGACTGCATTGTGCCAAGTGTAAAGTTTGGTGGAGGAGGGATAATGCTATGGGGTTGTTTTTCAGTGGTTGGCCTAGGCCCCTTAGTTCAAGTGAAGGGACATCTTAATACTTCACATACCAGTGCACAAAGAAAGGTCCATTAAGGCATGGAGTTTGGTGTGGAAGAACTTGACAGGCTCGCACAGAGCCCTGATCTCAATCCCACTGAACACCTTTGAGATGAACTAGAACGGAGATTGCGAGCCAGGCCCTCTCGTCCAACATCAGTGTCTGACCTCACAAATGCTCGTCTGGATGAAAGGAATAAAAATTTCCACAGACACACTCCAAAATCTTGTCTTCCCAGAGGAGGGGAAGTTGTTATAACTGCAAAGTGGGGACCAACTCCATATTATTGTCTAAAGTGTAGGTATCCCAATACTTTTGTCCATATAGTGTATATAAAGAAAGCCATTGAAAATTTTTCATATAAATAATATTAAATGGCAAAATAGGCATACAAATATGTGTGTCCTTCAGGCTTTGTTTCTCTCTGTTAGAGAGATCAGTGGGAGAGTTCATCATTGAGCATTATAGGTATCAGCAATTTCAATTGTTGCTTTTTTAAATTATTTTTAATGCCAAAATTTTGGCACATTTTTGGTGAAATATACAGTACCATCCACAAATATTGGCAGCCCTGGTAAACATGAGCAAAACCTGATCCAAGAACATTCCTCCATACAGAATCTCTCCAGATCCTTCAGATTCCGAGGTCCACACTTTGGACTTTCCTTGTCAGCTTATCCCACAGGTTTTCTATGGGGTTTAGGTCAGGAGACTGGGGTGGCCATGGCAAAACCTAAATTATGTGGTCATGGAACCATTTTGTCTTAATTTTGAGGCATGCTTTGGATCATTGTCCTGCTGGAAGATGTAAGCTATGGCCCAGTTTAAGCTTCTGCTGGTATTTGATGGAGTCTGTGCTGTGATACCAGGTATCCTGATAAATTGTCCAGGGCCTTTGGAAGAAAAACAGCCCCACAGTATCACAGATCCACCACATTTCACACTGGGGATAAGGTACTTTTCTGCTTGGCTATATTTGTGTCCAAGCCAAACTTACCTCAGATGTTTAATGCCAAAAATCTTATGTGACCATAGAACACAGTCCGACTGAAAGTTTCAGTAACGTTTCGCAAACTGTAGGAGCTGAGTTTGAGTTTGTTGGTTCCTGACAGCAGATGTTTTTTTCTGGCAACTCCTCCAAACAACTTTTGGTCATATAGGTGGTGTTTTATTGTGGTTTGGGAGACGATCTGACCTCAAGACCGAATTAATTTCTGCAATTTCCCATCTGTGAACCTTTATAGATTCTTTGTCCACTCGAACCAATCTCCTCACTGTACATAGGGTCAGTATAGACATACATCCTCTTGCCAACAGACACTTAACAACTCCAGTTGTTTTAAACTTTCTAATTATTTACCTGATAATGAACATTGGCATTTTAAATTGTTTAATTATTTTTTGTAGCTATTCCTGATTTGTGCAGCTCAAAAACCTTTTGTTGCACATCACTGCTGCATTCTCTGGTCTTTGTTGTGATGGATGACTAACAGAATTTGGCCTGTGTTTCATCTCCTATACAATCCCTAGTGAAATAGGAAGTCATGGCTGACCATTTGAGTGTTTCCAATTGCTCAAGTGAACTTAAAAACATAAAATATGAATGGGAATATACTTCAGTTAGATTTCACTCTTAAGAATTTCTAGGGGTGCCAACAATTGTGGCATGCATAGATTGAAGAAGAATGTTTATCATTATATCTTAAATAAAGGTGAATGATAGATCACCTTTGAATGAAAGATCAAAGGAAAAGCTCATGATTACCAGGAATGTCAATATTTGTGGGGGCCACTGTATAATGCTGATTTTTGCCAGTCATTTCATGAACTTGGCAATATATCAATATATAGCAGTGTTTACTGAGGAAATCTTTATGTTGTACATAACCTGAGGCACATATTTTATGCCCATTTTTCCATTTGGTGTTATAAGTACAAAATATTTTCAGAGGCTGTATTTTTAATAAAATAAAAATAAAAATGCAGAATGTACAGCAAGAATATATTCAGTTATACCATAACAAACTGCAAAAAGTTAGTATTTTAATGTGCAATTCCTAAAAACATGGAAAAAAATCAATGTAAACATTTTTGCCTAACATCTGTGTAACTGCATTATCTACAAAATGAATTCCAAAAAAGTTGGGATAGTAGGTAAAATGCAAATAAAAACAAAAAGCAAGTTGTGTAAATCTACTTTGACCTGTCGATATGATATGCAATGCTTTATCTTATTGTTAGAATTGTAAATATATGTTCATTCTGAAGTTGATGCTGGCAATAAGTTCCAAAAAAGAGTTGGGACGGGGCAATTTAAGACTAGGAATCTTATGAAAAAAACTTCCTAGACAGGTGATGCAATTATGCTTAAATATAAAATGAGCATTCAGGAAAGTATAACATATAGAATGCATTTAAAAAAAACAATGAAGTATATTCTAACAAGAACAAAATAATCAAATTGTAATTGTAATTATGATAGACAGATTACTATTAAAATCTCTGTCTCTCTCTCTCTCTCTCTCTCTCTCTCTCTCTCTCTCTCTCTCTCTCTCTCATTCCCTCACTCTCTCTCGGCTGAAGATCGCAGTCGCTCTGAGGTTGACCTCAGTAATCCAGGAGAAGAGTTTGCAAATGACTCTCTGCAAAGTCGCTGCCGCTCGGTTCCAGGTCTCAATGACGCAGTATGTTGTCTTCTTATTATAGATGTACTTTGACTACACACATCTGTCTGAGCTGACAAAACAGCATTTTTATCTAACTAGTAGGCCCTGATTTCTTGTAAGTGAGGGCTTGCAGACAGAATAATGTAACTGCTTGATAATCAGATCAGTGAGTAATAGCTAATGAGGCCCTCGCTAAATGTAAGGCTGATATTTGTGTTGTAGGACTCAGATGAGGACATTGATGCCCTGCTGTCTGCCCATTACAAAACCAACCGCAGTGTCAGCAGTGCTCAGTCTGTGGTACTACCCCTTACACAAACATAAAAACACACATATATACACATACCTCTAACAATATAGGTTTAGCAGTGAGTCATTGCTATCTGAAAAGCTGTATGTAGACTGTATGTATTTCTGTATGTATGCTTACATTATGTATGCATTATGTGTGTCTGCAACTTTATATATGTTCCATCCTGGCAGATACACACACATACAAGCACATTTTCTTAAATAGACATGGACACACACAGAGACAGAGCTGTAATACACAGAAAAGCACAGATGAACACTCACATATACACATACACACAAAAAACAGCATAAGAATGTAAAGCAAAAAAGAAAGTTAATTTGAAATTAAGAAAAAAGTGCATTTGGGCTTCTTGTAGTGTGCTCAGTCCCTAAATGCTAAATGAGTCATTTTGCTGCTGGGAGTGCACTGTATTGAGTGTTGAAGGCAGGAAATAAAGTAGACAGGCTGTCTACACTTACAGAGAAAATCTACATACACTTACATATAAAGCTAGCTCAGTACCTGCTCGTTGAAAAAAGAAAAATTCAAAATATATTAGCTTATTTTCTGCTGCTGCAGGCTTTTTTTGCACTCTTGCTCTTTTTGTCTCCCTTCCTTCACTCTTTCTGTTTTCAATTTGTCACTTCTCCATTTCTTTCACTTTGCTCCTTCCCCTTTCAGTCTTCCACTTCAGGCTCAGTGCGAAAGTGGGGCTACCTTAATGTACCCGACTCAGATGCAGAGACTGTGAGTGCTCTCTGTGTGTGTCTACGTTAGCTTGCTGTGTATTCCTCCCATCTATATCTGTCTGTAACACACACACAAACACTGTCTACATATTCATTCTAATACACATTCACCAATCAGAATTTTGGAATCACTGTTTAAAAGTTTGGAATCATTGGTTTCAATAAAATAAAATCAATTTGTTTTCAGATAGATGTACAAAAATATGTACAAAAGTGTTCTGTTATTGGCAGGTTACAAATGTTAATTAGGAGCTGTAAAAAACATAATGTGTCCAGAATGAAGAACAGAACTGTTTCTAAAGTGACTAAGAAAGTTGGGTAACACTATACTGTGCAGTGTTCATGGCTACATGATACTTCATGACAACTGACATAGACCCACATAGACATTTATAAGCAGTTATTCCAATAGATGTCATTTGTCAAGTGAAGCTTATTTCTAAAGCGTTTTCTACAATAGGTGTTGTCACAAAGCAGCTTTACAGACAATCCAGGTCCAAGCCCTGATGAGCAAGCAGAAGGCAACAGTGTCAAGAAAAATCTCCCTAAGAGCAAGTGGAAGAAACCTTGAGAACAGACTCAAAAGAAGAACCCAACCCAACCTAGAATAGGATTTTATAGTTACTATACAATAATGAATATAGAGTAAAAAAAAAGCTAAAAACAAAAAAAAGCTTGTTTCTGGACAAAAGTATGTCGATTAACCCATAATAACCGATGACTACTGTTAGTCGCCTATCATAGCAACAATGAGAAATAGATCTATGAAAATCAGTCTCTATTACCAGTGAAAACCGTGACAACTGTTAGGACTGTATTACAGTAAAAATGAGAGTTAAATGCATTAACATCAATGACTATTCTTAGAAGACTATTATAAAGACTTGTTAGTTTGAATATGAGTAGAGGTCAATGTATTGTTAGGCAGGTGAAACAATGTCTATGATTAAATAGTTTGAGTCTGTGCAGGCACCAGTATCATCAGGAGGGTGAGTGGCATAGAGGTAAGGCTTTTTGAACAGCATTGGACAGCAGGAAGCTCAATGGTGGTCAAACTATTCCAAAAGGCAGGAAGAGCAGTGGAACGAGATCAACAAAGGTGAAGCAACATCATTAGACCACACTGCTGGGCAGTTGTTCAGCTCATAGACAGTTAGTTCTGTTTGGGGTGACTGAGAACAATAGTGTTAACAGAAAGCAAGCAATGACTCTACCAGGCCTAGCTAATATATACACACACACACACATTTTCTAAGCCGCTTAACCCCCCTGGGTCTTGGGGGGAGCTGGAGCCTATCCCAGCTGTCATTGGGCAGATGGTAGGATACACCCAGGACAGGTCGCCAGTTCATCGCAGGGGGCCTAGCTAATACAGCCTAACTAAAAAGGGAGAAGCAAAGACATGAGGGCTCCATGAGATGTCCGCTTCCCCGTCAACAAACTTGAACTTAAAAAAAGTTGTCATAGTGGTTGAATTTACTTCAAGGTTAAGTTGATATAACATCCATCATGTAACATGGATTTTTTCTGAAATTAGTTTGTCATTACACCTGGTGACAAAATGACATGGCTTGCCAACTCAGGCTGATTGAACAAAAGTTTTACCATTTAAAAGTTTTAAAAAGCCTAATGTTTGAAATCTGATCACCACTTTTAAAATACAAAATGTTTTTTTTTTTTTTTATAACTTTCTGATGTGTTCCTTAAGTGTTTATAATGCTACCTGACACCTACATACGCTCATCATTACAACTGACATAAACTTACAGCTGTAGGTTGTACAGATAATTTACTAAGCTGTTGTTCCCAAAATTCAAGTTGTAAAAATACCATCTAGTGTGTATGTTTGTATGTGTTTTGTAAGTTATTATTGTATATAAATTAATGTGATTCCATGCTTTTGAACAGTAATGTATTCTAGGCTGCTCTCACACCCAGAACATTACATATACACTAACACAAATCTTCACACAAGCTACACATATTCAAGTTGTACACACACACATTCTCACTCAGTGTTAAAGATGTTGTATCCCCACTCTGCAGAGCAGTCTGAACAGTATGATGAGTGTGTACAGCGAGACAGGTGACTATGGCAATGCGTGCGTTTCCGGAGAGATCCTGCTCAACATCTCCTACAGCTACAAAACTGGAGCACTCAATGTTCTAGTGCGCGAGTGCCGCTGCCTAGCAACCGGAGATGAGAAGAGGCAGCGCACTGACCCGTAAGGGGCCGCTTGTACACACATAGACACATATATACACATATTCATAGACTTACACATAGATGCACATTCAATATATAAATACACATGCAAATGTTGTACCAAACGTCCAGCTATTGAGCATTTTCACTTCCTAAGGTCATGAAGATGACTTAGTGCAAACAGCACTTATCAAATCAGGAACTGCAAAAAGAGTGCCACAGTTATCCTAGCACTGGCTCTGAGTACAGTAACCATCAGTAGGAGAAAGATACAGTACTGAAGCACCTGTTGTGTTCTAATAATAACTGGGCTGCTATTCACAATAATGCTATTCATGATTGGTGGCTTGAAATAGTTTTTTTTTTTTAATATTATCAGTACTGAAATTAGATGTGTATTTTCTACTGATTTCTGTGTGTGTTTTGCAGATATGTCAAAACATATCTTTTACCAGACAAATCCCGTCAGAGCAAACGAAAAACCAGCATCAAAAGCAACACAACCAGTCCAGTGTTCAACGAAAACTTGAGGGTGAGAAGGGCCTGAAGTAGTGCTGGACAAAATGTCATATGTTGTGTACTGGTATACTTGTATTTATTGTCACCCAAAATATTGATTTTTAATTTTAGTGCTATTGATAGAAAATAAAAATAAATAACTTCAGTGTATGGGTGTTGCAGGTTTTTTGAAAGAACAGTTCAGATTGCATGAAAACTAAATAAATAATTTGCTCCCTTTTGGTGTGTTTGTAAGAGAAATAAACTCAGCAGTCAAAACAATCAAAGGCTACACTAGTGCTCAAATGTTTGGAGTTGCTTCACTGTCATTTCAGTATTTGCTGTTATTTTATACAGCAATAACTTATACAATATAAATTGAAATCCTATAAGATAGACACCTGGTCAGGCTTCATTTAATTTGGGGGGGTTTGCAGAAAGCATAGATTCTTTAACAATATCATCAAATGATATCAGCATCAAATACCACACATGAATACAGGCCCTAGCCATGCACATGTGTTTCTGTAACAACATGTATGGTATAAATCTCTCTCTATGTGAGTAGTACGTGGTGAGTCACTCTCAGCTGGAGACGCGCACTCTGCAGGTATCTGTGTGGCATCATGACCGCTTCGGACACAACAGCTTCCTGGGAGAGACGGAGCTGACTTTTGATTCCTGGGAGTTTGACACTCAGATAGAGGAGTGGTTTGCCCTGCAGCCCAGGGTGAGACACAGACATATACACATACACACACACGTGACCTAATGGGACACTGGTAGTGCGCTGTGTTCTCTAATGGTGCGTTCTCTGCAGGCTGAGTGCTCTGCAGACTCTATGATGCAGTATAAAGGAGAGCTGACTGTGGTTCTGAAGTACATTCCTGCAGAGAGAAATCTCTCACTGCCCCTGGACCAAGTACAAGGTACTATAGAAAATACTGCTGATTTAGTTAATGTTTTGCTTTCATTCAGTTATTGTAATTCCTCAAAGTTATTCCTGAATTAAATCTGTTTTAATGCATCTTGGATGTAGATAATCTCTATTCGGATTTAATCCTGATACTCAAGATGCACAAAACGACCAGGAGTAAATAGGGTCATACAATCCTTGTAAAGACTCATTTCTATGAGACATACAAAAGAAAAAAACAGCTTTTTTGGTGTGTGTGTGTACAGAGTGGCACTTTTGCAATGCTGGTATAATGATGATGATTATGATGATGATGATCATGCAATGTCTCTCTCAGTGAAAAAGGGATTTCTGAAAGGGAAGAAGAGTATCACTCTTCCAAAAGGAGGAATGGTAGAGCTGCTGGTTAAAGAAGCCAAGAACTTGACAGCTGTCAAATCAGGTTCTTCTGATCCTTTTGTGAAAGGGTAGGAACAATCAGGATTTGTTGTGTGTTAACACAAGCACACACGCACGCACGCACACACACACGCACGCACACACCATATATATATATGTGTATATATATATATATATATATATATATATATATATATATATATAAAACCTCGAAAACCTTGTATCTCCATTTTTATTATTCAGTTTTTGACATAATCTGAAAAACAACAATTTATGGTGCTGTGTATATATATATATATATATATATATATATATATATATATATATATATATATAAAGCACCATAAATATTTAGTTATTGTTATTTTTTAGCTGTCTACCGCAGCATATTGGAGTAAATATTGAATAAAGTGCAGACTTTCAGCTTTAATTTGAGGGTATTTAGCTTTCATTTGAGCAGTTGGCCGTTCAGCTGTTCCATGGCCAGTTCCATGTGTCATTCCCTCTTTATTTCACTTGTAAGTCAGCAAATAAAATGTCTAGAGTCAACTTCAAGTGTGCATTTGCATTTGGAATCTGTTGCTGTTAATACTCAATGTGAAGTCCAAAGGGCTGTCACTGCCAGTGAGGCAAGCCATCATTAGGCAGAAAAATCTAAACAACAAAACCTGTCAGACAGATAATGATATAGAAAGTACTAATGAGCTCAGAAATACTAAAAGGCCTATAAAATGGAAAACAACTGTGGTGGATGACAGAGGAATTCTTTTCTGATTAAGAAAACACCCTTGGCAACAGTTGGCCAAATCAAGAACACCTTTAAGGAGGTAGGTGTATCTGTGTCAAAGTCAACCATCAAGAGAAGCCTTCACAGAGGTTTGAATCTTTACTACAAGATGTTGACCTTTGGTAAGTCTCAAAAATAGACCAAATAAGAGTTTGCCCAAAACATCAAAAAAAGCCTATACAGTTCTGAAACAACATATTATGGACAGATGAGACAAAGATCAATTTGTACCAGAATTCTGCTGATGGTCCAAAGCATACCACATCAATCAAGCGTGTTAGAGGTAGTGTTATGGCGTGGGCATGTAAGGCTGCCAATAGAATAGGGTCTCGTATATCTTGAACTGCTGACGAAAGCAACAGGATGAATTCTGGCTAGTGCTATGTTATCTACTCAGATTTAGCCAAATGCTTTAAATCTCATTGGATGGTGCTTTACAGTTCAGATGGACAGTGACCTAAATCATATTGCAAAAGGAACTCAACACTTTTTTAAAAAAGAAGTGGAATGTTCTGCATTGGCAAAGTCAATCACCTGACCCCAATCCAATCATGCATTATGTTCACTTATTTAAGTGAAGACTGAAAGTAAAATGCCCCAACACAAGCTGCAGAAAAGGCCTGGTAGAACACCACCATGGAAGAAAGCCAGTGTCTTGTGATTGTCTGTGAGTTTCAGACTTCAGGCAGTTGGCTGCAAAAAACTTGGAACCAGGTATTAAGAATGACAATTTATGTTATGATTGTTAGTTTGTCCAATTACTTTGCCCCTAAAAATGGGGGGTGATGTATGAAAAAGTTGTAATTCCTATACTGTTCACTCGATTTAGATGTAAATACAAATAAAAGATCAAATTCTGTCTTTTAAAGTCACTTACATCATTGAATTTCAACTCCAATATGATCTAGTAAACAGCGTAAATAACAAAAACTTGACTTCCAAATAAATACTCAGATTGAAGTGATGGACATGACTAACTTTCAATGCTACTGACAATTCCAGACAATATGTAAAGACTCCCTTTACATAATGTTGTCAAAATCACGAGTTGTGGTTGTAATTGTCTTATAAGGATGAATGGATTTTTTGCCAGTGTTCTGTAAAGCTTCTCCAACCTTGCTAAAAATTGCTTCAAAAGAACAAATTTGTAGTCAGAGCATGTGTAAGGTCAAACTCCATTTGTGAATATAGGTACCTACTGCCTGATGACAAGAAAAGCACAAAGCACAAGACTGCTGTGGTGAGGCGTTCAGTGAATCCACGTTGGAACCACACCTTTACCTACTGCGGCCTCCAGCACAGCGACCTGGACAGTGTGTGTCTAGAGCTCACAGTCTGGGACAAGGAGCCACTTGCCAGCAATGTCTTCCTGGGAGGAGTCCGTCTAGGAGCTGGAACCGGTCAGTCTGTCTCTCCCCGTCTTTTTCTTACTTTTTATCTTCCTTACTCCAAGCATTAACTATGAGGAAAGGCAAGACGTTTTTGCATTCTCCACTCCAAACTCCATTTAATTGTTGTCAATTTGCTGAAATTACTTAAGGATACAGGCAGCATGGTGATGCAGTGGTTAGCGGTGTTGCCTCACAGCAAGAAGGGCCTGAGTTTAATTCCCTGGCCGGGCGACTAGGGTTCTCTCTGTGTGAACTTTGCATGTTCTCCCCTTCTCTGCATGGGTTTCCTCCGGGTGCTTCGGTTTTCATCCACAGTCCAAAGACATGTAGTCAGGTGAATTGGAGATGCTAAATTGCCCCTAGGTGTGTCTGCCCTGTGATGGACTGGCGACCTATCCAGGGTGTTACCTGCCTTCTGCCCAGTGAACACCCGTATCTAAGCGGCTTAGATAATGTGTTTGTATATATAAATAATGTAAAGGACATTTTATCTTCCTTTAAACAAGACTGTATGTACAACCACAACTTCTCATGAATTCAGTAAAAAATAATTTGTGAGTTCGGACCTTGCTTTCAACATATGGTGGTAGTATAAGGAAAGACTGATTGTGGGTGGGGGAAAGAATCAGAGAAGTTGGGCTGGAGCTAGGAGGCCAGACCCTCCCTTTCAATAGCTATGGTAGGTCTGACACAGGACTCAGAAACAGGAAGGAGATGGTGTGGTGGGGATTGCAAAAACTTTGTCATGTGAAACAGAAGGTAAGGATGGGCATTTATAGGACATTAGGTTGGAGGGAAGAGGTCTTTTAGGCATGGTCCTTTTCCCAAATTTCAGTTGTTCCAGAACTCCGTAGTACAGGGTGATTCAAAAAGATTCATCTCATTTCAAAGCACCATATTTTTTACAACCGTGAGGCGCCTAGGAACCAATCACATACCAATTGAAAGAGGGGATCATAGAGTTTCTGACTGTCATCAGAAGATGGTGACCCCTGAGCGTTTTGCATTCTCCACTTCAATAAAAGTGAATTCATCATAATTGTGCAATGTGATTTTCATCAGCAGTGAATCTCCAAAAGCTCAGAGCATTCATCGTTGGTTCCACAACACTGGATGATCTCTGAAATCGCACTGAAAGAGCCGTGAGTACAGTGACACCGACATGCTCAATCGAGTATAGGATGAATTTGACTGTCACGTTGATGTTGTCCGTGCAGCTGGAGGAGGTCATATTGAGCACTTGTAAAATTACATAAACTTTATGCTCACTTAAACCATTTACAATTTACTGCATTGTTCTGTAATGATTTACAAGTGAAATAAATCATTTTGACATAAGATGCATCTTTTTTAATCACCCTGTATTTCCTCTTTGGAAGTTTGGTATTAAGCATTAATTTAAGGGTATTTACATCCCAATTTTATATTCATTGAAAGATTCATTTAGTATACACACGTTTGCTAGGATTTCTCAGCTTGATTAATTTACATATTGTTGAAGTAGAAATTATAAATATCAAATTACATATTTTGTTATCATCAGCAATAACTGTAAGTGAAATAAAACTGCCTAGAATCAACTGTAAACAGGCTTCTATAGAGCTGATAAAGCTGATGAATCATTCAGTAATCATTTCCTGATGTACTTGTAACTGATTGTCTTGTTAGTCAGAAGAGAAAAAATTAGCATGTAAAAGAATAATTCCCATATATGACATAATCCATCCCACATAATGCTTAATAATTTACATTCAAACTAGCACATCTAGCACTCTGCAAAATGATTGCGTGATTCTTTTTAAGCTGTTGCCTCCTGAATGGTTTCCTTCCATCATTTTTTGACTTCCTCATTTACTTTAGTCACAAGCACAGAACATGATAGCAGGTTGATTCTGACTGCATGTTCTGACCCACAGGTCTGAGCTATGGGAGGGAGGTGGACTGGAATGATTCGTATGGGGATGAGCAGCGACTGTGGCAGCGCATGATTGACAACCCTGAGATTCCTCTGGAGTGCACACTGATGCTGAGGTCCAGCATGGCCAAGAGAAAGTCATAGAGGGGGCTGAGAGAGGATAGCTAGTTATCTTGCAATACTCATCAAAACTTAATGCCCCTCATCACCTTTAAAAAAAAAAAAAGTGCCCTTTGCACACACAGGTAGAAACAGCATTATCACGCACCTGCACACACATACATAGACTGTATTTGTCCTCTAGACCAGCTGTGATCACTTACTACGTCTTTACACACAGATTGATACCTACATATATGACCACACACTGTCTTATTGTCTACTCAACTCACATACAGCCCTGCGTTTTGCAACTAAACATGTATTATACATGCACAAAAATCCAAAAATCGATTCTTAGATGCATCGCAATGCGGACGTGGACGATTCTGAATCAATTCACAAATGTCAAAAATAGATTTTCTAAATTTGAACTGATAATGTAATGTTGACGGAACGCAAAAGGCGGAACTTGGAAATACGGACGCTCAGATGCTCTGTGACGTGCACATAACAAAAACACAACTGGATGAGCGAGAAATACGACCAGCAGACTGGTATAACCCAAATGTTAAGAAGCGCCATTTTGTCCTTTCAACAAAAATCAAACCACCTTGTGAGCCAGAACATTTTATGTCCAGTACGTCTCAGTATATGCTAATGTCCTAGTATAGGCTAAACAATATAAACGAAAATACAGACTTACTTTGCTCTGCTTCAAGCTTTAGCTATAGCCGCTTTCCTCCCATCTCCACCAGAAACATTTTCCTTAAAAGTAGAACAGTTTCTTGCAAAATGTCTCTCAACGTTCGACTGTTTTACGAAGCTAAAGTCAGCTTCTTATTCACCAGCTTCTTGTTTGAATTTTCCTGTTCTACCTTAAATTCTGCCTGAGGCACCAGAATGTAAATGCGGCACCATTTAAGGTGGAACAAGAAAATTCAAAAGGGAAGCTGATTTCATCTTCACAACTTTAGTGTTTAACAGTCTCCGATTGCAGGTTTAACGTTACAGGAAACCAACTGAGCTGCTTATAAATGCGAATAAGTCCATTCGTCTCCAAATGTTTGTCTTAAATCTCTCTCTTTGCCTTTTCACTAGCTACTAGCTAGGCGAGACTGCATTGCTATGTGACCTGCAGTCTGCCCGCCAGTTCTCTGTCGTTGAGAACCAGGGCTTTCGCACTGTGTTGCACACTTTGGAGCCGAGATACAGCGTCCCTTCTCAAAGATATTTTACTGACATAGCGATCCCCACTCTCTACAACGAGACCCAAATTGAAGTTACAAAATAAAAAAAATATAAAAGAAAACGGGTAGAACAGCTGTAACGTGCTGCGCGGACATCTATTGCCACTGGATCTTATATCACTGTAACTGCGCATTTTATTGCAGATGAGTGGCAACCAGTGTCTCGTGTTCCAAACAAGAGCAGTGAATGAGAGCCTTCTAGTTCACTTGCCATATCACTTCCATTTGTTTTAGTAATAACAGATATTGGAAGTAAATTCATTATAGATCATTACAGTATTTTGCTTTAAAAGTACCAAGTCCTCATACAGTGAGAAAAAAAAATAGTATAGAAAAAAATGCATCGATAATCGTTTTACAATCACATCATAGGCCTCTGAATCGTAATCGAAACGAATCGGGAGGTGCCTAGAGATTACCACCCCTACACACCACATAGTACAACAATCCAATGGCTGTAAACAGCACAAAAGCCATCCTAAAAAGAGCACATAATCTCTAGGTCGCAATTAGCTTTGCAAAACAATATCAAAACCATACTGCACATGAGAACTCACACATACTGTACATTTATGAGGGTACAAAATTTCCAGGCTTGCACAAAGCATTCCATTCAAAGCACACACGCTCAATGGGTAAAGTACACAACAATGCACTTGCATTACCACTCTATAGACACAGAAAAAGCCAGTTGTGCTTTCAGCCTGAATATAGAGAATCTCTGCAGATTTAGTGTGAGGAGTCTATTTTCATGTGCTCTTGTAGCGATAAGACTGAAATCAATCACACCTCACTGAACTCATCCACTTCCAGCCCTGCATGCCTGAGGGAATTTTCATGAACTCATCAGACTGTTCTAGTGTTCAGAGGCAGCCAACCAGAACGATTCCTGTCTTGGGTGTTTAATTTTTACAACGCTCAAAGCCAGAGAGATCAGAAGATGGAATTGGGAATTTGTGTGGATGCTTTAGTAAAACACTTTTAGAGACACTTGCACAATGCACACACGCACACAGTTCACACACTTCTGAAGAACAGCACATAGTGTGGCATCCTTTGCTGTGAAATTTGAGCTGAGTTCTAGAAAATGCCCAAGCGTACATGCTCCAGGCATAGTGTCACTGTGAGGATCATGAGGATTTCAGGAAGAAACTCCTTTTTGTAACCTTGCATTCCTGTTCCCAACAGACAGCTTTAAAATACCATATGGTGTCACCTTTAATGTATAAGGGGTTTTGCAATCCATGTTCAGTGATTATCAAGCTTTCTACAGAGAAAAATATGACCTCTCTGTGTTAAATGTTTTAAAAGTAATGTGCTTTTCTTGCCTGACTGTAAACCAGTTAAAGTCTCAGCATGTAGAATGTGTCTACGTACTTTGTCTTCTATGAGCAGGGAGGCTTAAGACATATATCTTCAGTCACCCTTATATAGGAAAGAATAAATTCTCTATGAACTTTCATCTCTTTTCAACTCATCATTGCATTTAACACATTTATAACCCACATGTGGAATATATACCTAAAAATCCTTGGTCCTGTATTATTGTAGACAGCAAAAAGTCAGTAGTTGTAAAACATGCATTTAAATATTTGCACAAACACTTGCAGAAACAAGTTTATCATTTAACAAATACAAACACCTAATAAATGAAAAGAAAAACAATACATGGATAGATGGATGGTTTGAGGTACCAAGAATAGCTGTTTTGAAATTCTAATTGAACAATCACATTCATACAAAATACATACACACTAATACATTTATAACCATCAAAGCTTTGAATTCAAAGCTGTTAAACTTGTGAACCCATGAAAAATGTATGAGTCTCACTTCTAGTGCCCTTAGCTGGCTTTGTCAAGCCCTGTCAATGTTTATTTACAAGCTTTACCCTTCTAGGTAAAGATATTATGTTACACCTTGGCCTACTGCTCAGCAGACATTTTACTCATCTGTATGAGGTTTGATTTTTTCAGACAAGGGTTAGTTGAGCCTGCTGAAAGACTTCTCCAGATTACCAAAACAGAGGGTGACATCACACTGTCCAGCGATTCCACTGCTCTTCATGACTGCTGTTGCTTCTGTTCATGAATAACTGAATCTTCAATATTCCTTCATAAGAAACATCAAACACCAAAAAAAGAGAGAATCTGACAGTGATGGTCAAAGTAAATTTTATTGCCATTGCTTCTCACCACAGACATAGTAAACAAAAGCAGGGCTGTAATAGTTGTATACTTAAGTTGTGTTAGTTTGGTACCACTGATCTATACTGAATCACTACTAATTTATATTTGGAACATATTGCAGTCCCTCTTTACAAAGTATACCTATCACATGTTACTTTCACCGATCTTTAAATTAATCTGTGCTGCCAAGCTGAACTCTTAAAAACCATTAAAACAGCAACCTTAAATGTGTTTGAATTATTTATAAATTATAATTTTGCAAGCTCGGACCACTGTACAATGAAAAAAACATACAGTCTCCCGAAAGAACAATGACTTTTAGAAAGCAGAACAATTGCTTCCATATTCCACTATGTTACTGAATATGTATTTGTACAAATGTATCACTGTATTATGATTACACACAGAAATGTGTCACAGTATGAATGATAATACACACATATTTACATATACTTAGCACAAGCAAATACAAAAACAAACACAAAACTCTTGGGAACAGTAACATCTGGTGTAGTAAAATGTTGTAGAAGCTTGGTAACATTTGTGAACATACAGAAAGCAAATCTGTGGATGTGACACAGTGCTGGACATTAAAGGTATTGTCTTAAGAGCCATCAAGTAAAAACTCACTATATGAGCTCAACGCAGTCATAAGTATCAGTTCACACCCATCACATGAGCTCATCGCATCATGCCAGATGCACTTTCTATCATCTAAATCTGTAATTTTCATGCACCAATTATGTTAGGCCAAAAGGCATGATTTGAGGAAGAGTAGTTTATTAGCCCCATTGTAAAAAAAATTTAGTGCTTAAATGTAGTTTTGGGACACCTCTATTATCATTTATTTAGTTTTTTTATTATTTAATTTGTATTATGGAAATTGTGCTTTACCATATTCAAAAGCATATAATTTCAGTTATATTACAACTTATTAATCAATACTTTGATTAATGTTTACCTAATTTTACTTAAAGAAAATGCACATGTTCAAAGCAGATATCTCCAGATGCGACACTTGGAAATCCCCTGCCCAACACATCTGACTCAGCTTTTTAAATTTATTAAAAAATCACAAAGATATTGCTGTGGAAAACTTGAATATTGAGTTGAATTGTCATATCTGAATCTGAATCTGTCAAAAACAATTATCTCTTGGTTACAAAATGTCTGTGATATAGATTGCAGATACATTTTAAATTCAAAAATCAAGCCTGAAACTGTACTTTTCCTGTTTCATTTCAGGAAAAGTTCAAAACATGCCATGGTCTGGCCATCCAAAAGAAAAAAAATCCAACAAGCCTGGTTGGGCATCAGATGTATAAACCCATGCAGTCCTTCCATAAATGAATTCAATTTGTCAAACAAAAGAAGGGACATGCAACAAAATACTAACCTAAATAAAATACTAAATAATAAAAACCTACATAAACGAAAGATGCCCTGCAATGGACTGGCGACCTGTCCAGGGTATATCCTGCCTTCCGCCCAATGACAGCTGGGATAGGCTCCAGCACCCCACCGCGACCCAGAAAGATAAGCGGTTTAGATGACGTATGTATGTATGTATGTATGTATGTATGTATGTATGTATGTATGTATAAACGAAAGAGACACCGTTTGTCCCACTAATGTTTGAGTACTTCTCTTGCTTTAACCAGGATCATTTTGAGTTTAGTTAGTAAACTTGGTTGTTATTGACCAGCAATAACAACCAGGTTTACTATCTAAACTCAAAATGATCCTGGTATAACTTACTGTGGTGTAGTATAGTTAAAAAAATAATAAGAAATAGAATTGAGAAGAAGTGTGCTGGCCTCAAGGAGTGGTTAAAAGAAAATCCACAGGGTGGCGCTAGAGTGCCATTATGGCTAGTATGTCTTGCTGAAGAAAAAAAGAGAAGACAAAATGACTGAGAGAAACGAGAGTAAAGCTGTTCACCTGGAATGCTGAGCTTAAAATAAGTGAAACGAAGCATACAGAGTCTACCAACAATATTTTTTTTTCTATTGTTCACAAACCCCTGTTTCTTTGTTGCTGGTACTTATGAATACAAAAGAATAAGTAGACAAGGCACAAATTGTATTTAGAGAGTGTCCTAAGACTATTTTTAGGGACGCAGGTGTTACTGAATGAAAGCGTTACCTTCTCTTAGGAACAGACTCAAGTAGTCAAACAGAAACCAGGGCAACCACCAGAACTCAACATTCCTTAAAAGACAG